AGTTCGTATTTTTTTCTGATTTATTGGTTATTTTTATGAAATATATGCCTATGAGCAGAGAATGTGATTGTTTCTAGCAGAAGTGCTTGTTTATTTTTTGAGCTTATAGCCTCATAATTGTACAAACTGGAAAACATAAATCAAGCACAGACCACACGATATCATAGGTTTATATGTAACTTGATGTATCAGTATAAAACCTAGAAGAAACAGACTGATCRTTGTTAGCAGAGCAGTATGCTCTGCTGCTTGTGCAGTGTTGGCCATTGCTATCTTTACTCATGTTTGATTTTATAAATCAAACCCCCTGCTTTCAGTTGCTTTAGAAATCCACATTTGAGTAAGTTAGGACTGATCACTAAGATCTGTCAATTTTTATTACTTGCTCTCCTAATATGTGCTCTGTTCTGGAGTTATTTTATAACTCAGATAAAAACAAAATGGATTGCTACTTCACTCTTTGGTTTTGTGAATGTTGCTGGAAAAACCCAGAGCAGAGACATGGATGACCTTCTTTTAGTAACTGATTTGTCTCTTCACACGTGCATGGTCAAGGGTGGTCCTTGCTTTTGCACCACCTGGGTCAAATACGCGCCGTTAAGCCGACAAGGTAGTTGCGTGGAGGTAGTTGCGTGCCGAATCCGTAGGCATGCCTGCAGAAGATCAGAACTTCCAGGAGATTATTACCATTTTTATCTTTTAAACTTACTTTGTGAATGCTTCTACTAAGGATCCTTTACTCTGAGCTCCTTCAGATTTTCCTGTTGCATATTTTGGTACCATTTCCTTTTGACTTGTAATAGTATAAATTAAAATAGCTGATAGGAAGTCAGGCCATATTAAAGCCTGTCTTATGAGGCAATAGAATTGTAGCCAAATGACATAATTTTCTGAAGGGCATAATYATGGCTGTGGGTTGAGTGTTTAAGGATCTTTTTGTGTACTGGGGCTTTGTGTTAGAGTTATTCTAGATACGTAGAGATGTTTTATTATGTTGAGTATTTGTAATACACATGTATGTGCTTAATGAGCAAAGGGATCACTGATGCTAAGGGATATTTGAGCACTGCATTTGCAAATTTGCAATTATTTTTTCATTAGCTCTGAATCTAAAGTGAAGTATGGCTGTCAGAATTTTTTAATAGAGTGGAGTAATTTGGTACTTAATAGTAAATGTAGCAGAGTGAGGCAAAGCTATGGCTAACTGAACTCCAGTTTCACACTTTATTGTATAAGCTAGTGGTAGAGACCAAAAAGGATACTGCCTGTTCCATAAAGAGCACAGAATATTTAAGATTATTTGTTGACTTTTTTATTTCCTTGATTTAAGTCTGAAACATTGATTCAACCAGTAGAGCATGTATCTACCTGGCCTGTGTGTTGACTGAATACGAGCAATTTTCATGATTGGATTCGGATATTGAGCTATTACCTAAATAAGGCATCTGCAGCCAGACTGAACATTTTTAGTTGCACTTTCTGCTCACATTTCAGTATACAGTCTTGAATAAAAGCTTTTGAAAGGGRAAAAAAGGTTTAGAGAATTATATTCTTACTTTAGAAAATTGTAATTTGGTCTTTTTCTGCGGAACTGCAATCAGAACAGAAAGGCTGAGGTCTCCAAGAGGATGTTAAGAAATTTAGGTGCCTGAGTCTAAATTTGACCTTTAAGTGCCTTTAGGGCATCTAAGGCCATAGCAACCTGAACTGCAATGTCAAATTAGCTTTGTGAAGGCTTAGGAGTTTGGTATCTGTTCCCACTGTGCCTAATGCATGCTAGTGCCTCTTGGAAAACCTCAAGCAGGACATTCACTTGCCTGTATTACTGACAGCTGTATCATCTATCTCCTAATCCAGGTGCTGCATGTATCAGTAGGTTGAGGGAGGGCATCCTTCCCTCTGCTCAGCCCTGCATCTGGGATGTGGATCCAGGTCTGGGTCCACATCTGCTGAATCACAGAATGGCTGAGGTTGGAAGGGACCTCTAGAGATCATCCAGTCCAACCCCCTGCTCCAGCAGGGACACCCAGAGCACGGGGCACAGGGCGACATCCAGGTGGGTTTGGAAGATCTCCAGAGAAGGAGACTCCACAGCCTCCCTGGGCAGCCTGTGCCAGGGCTCTGKCACCCTCACAGTGAAGAAGTTCTTCCTCATATGGAACTCATGTGGAGATGGAAATCTGTTGGTAGGGATATGGAGCTACTAGAGCGAAGAGAACAAAGTCCCACAAAGATGATGAAGGGCCTGGAGCTTCTGTCATAGGAGAAACTGAGGGAGCTCAAGGTATTCAGCCTGCAGAAGGAAAGGCTTGCGGGGATCTGATTAGTTGGATTAAATATCTAAAGGGAGGTTGTAAAGAAGACACCAGTCTCAGTGTGCCCAGTGACAGGGCAAGAGGTGGTGCACACAAATTAAAACAGGGCATGCTATCTAGATCTTAGGAAAAAAACCTATTCCTGGGAGAGTGACTGAGATTACAACAATTTGCCCAGAGAGATAGTGGAGTCCCCAACTGTGGAGATATTCAAAAACCTTCTGGAGATGGTTCTGGGCAACATGGTGACCCTGTTTGAGGAGGGTGGTTGGACCAATATGACCTCCAGAAGCATCTTCCAACACCAGCTATTTGGTGACTCTGTATTCAGATTGGTCCCTGTTTGCCAGCCTGCCTTCCTGATGCCACTGCCCTYGCTCTTTGCGAGTCGAGCAAGTCTCTTCGTAAGGAGAAATGAGTGTTGCTAATGCAGTTCCTCAAAGCATCTGCTGTCTAGTTTCATTTTGTTGCTGTCTTATTTTTTCAAGATAGTTGAATATACKCTTGTTTGTTTTTTAAAAGATAGGATATTCATTTTGCATACAATCCAAACCAAATAAGTGTATTATGTGTAACCAAAGTAATTCTTGATTACTTCATTGTGATGATTTTAATTAGTTTTATAAAATAATGTAAGTGATAAGGCTTTTCAAATGAAGATTTCTTAAATGTCATAGTTTTCTGAACTGTTTAGATAACTTTTTTTTCCATATGTGTATTGCTAAACTCTTTATGTTCTTGTTCTTCATAGACCCACGCATGTGCTTTAAATATTATGAATAGTCAGGATGCTATGGGACTTTTGCATAGCATGTCTTACATAAGTCTTTGCAAGATTGTGACCCAAGTACTTCTTAAACTTAATTCCCAGAATAGTCACTGTGTACAGCAGGGGGTCAGCAGCATATGGCACAGAAGCCAGAGATGACACATACACTGAATTTTTTTGAATGGTGCAGAACTGCTCTCTGTGTGAGGCAACAGATTCCAACACCTACTACGTTTCTTTTAGCGTACTCAGGCATTACTTGGAGAATAAAAATATGACTGCTTAGTGRTTGCTGAAACGTCTACAAATTCCTGCTTTCTGTTGTATGAAACAGGATGCTAATACATGTATCTGGCTCGTATTTGAAGAGGGGTGTGTGTTCTTGTCTAAATCCAGGTGTGTTACAGGCAGCAGAGCCTACAGGGGACAATTTCAGGGCACTGTTTCTGAATAGCCCTTCAGAGACTTAATTAGCAAAGCACCTAAAATAAAGTAGAAGTCAAAGAAGCTAAATGCACTTGGCTTCTTAACAGTGTGCCATTAAATGTTAGCATGGCAACTGTAGTTACCATGTGGTTAAAAACAATAGCTTAATGTTATAATCCACAAATAACAACGTAATTGGTAAACCAGGCTTCAGTTCTGTTTAGACAATTCAGTTTGAAAGCTTTATAAATCAAAAAAAAAAAAAAAAAACCCAGATACTGTATTTGACATGAAAGCAATGAACAAGCTTTTCAGAATCACTCCTAACCTGAAATGAATATAATATTTTCAGTTTTGACATCCTTGTCTTTCCTGCCCGTGGTTCGGTTGTGCAAAGGGTAGATCTTGGACAGCTGTAGTATCTTAGCAGAAATTTATGCAATGTGTCAGCCTCCAAATAAAGCTAATGTATATGAGAGAKAGGGTTTGGTAGCAGACAAACAATTTAAGTGCTGAGAACTAATAGCAAGAATGTCTTTCATGGTGGATAAGTTTCCTCTTAATACTTCCCCRCCATTAAATCTAAGATAAATATACAAAGCCATTTTTTATTGATTTTAGTAGTAGCAGCATTGATTTTCATATAAAACTCTTTAAATGCATTATATACAATCTACAGTAAACCTTCTACGTGCTTTTATTTTGAAGATGATCACATGCCTTTTCAGATTTGAAWGTTTTGACCATTAGAAAAGAAAGATGGAGTACATTTATGGTTTGTTTAATAATCGATTAGGCACATGTCTTCAGACATGCTGTGGAGGCTTCACCTTCCTATTGCTGCYGTTATTCTGTGCCTGTTAATAGTGAGGTATCTTAGTAGCAGCAGTCTTGCCATGTGAGCTACATTTTGGTCATATGGTAGATGCGTTCTGGCTCGCACAAGAGAAGTGTCTTGGTTGAACGTAACGAAAAAGATGACTGGTGAGAATGCTAGAGGAACACAAAGCTGAGAAGGTGCTAGAAAGCTACCACCTGTTACCACGTAGTAAGCGTAGATTAACAGCTTCAAATGTGGTAGGTGATCCTGGCTGTTTGTTCTGGATATGCTACTCGTAAGAGATCTGCTCCTTTCCTTTGTTTTCTTCTCTYTTTCTAGGAGTTACAAAGAACTGTGCTTCGTAAAAATGATAYTCCTTTTGGGTGATTGAATTTTGGAACCCAAAAGCTTTTGCAATCCAAAATTACAAGTCTCATTGCAAGCCTTGGCCACAACTGATAATGTGTGTGGGCAGGTGCACGCACACATGCTTTTGTGCTGTGTTTGGCCTAAGCACTGAGATACTTAGCAAATTCTCTGTTGATTTACATTTATTTTGTGGAGTTTGTCTGGATGTTTTATTTTCTGTGATGCTCAGATAGAACAAAGAAGAAAAAAGAAAGAAAAGAAAGAAAAAAATGCTTGTTTCACTTTGGTTTGTGTTTTACAGGAGACACATGAAATTGTGGCTATCAAGAAATTCAAGGACAGTGAAGGTAACTTTTTTTTCCCCTACGTGTTCTTTTGTGTCAACAACTATGCTGCTGGTATCTCTCCAGCTGAATAAGAAGCCTCTCGTATCAAGTTATGATTTTAAAATGATAATATTAATTCTGTGAGTATTTAGGGCTCCTGATACTTCACACCTACCTAGCCCTTGCATTAGGTACTCAAAGTGAACAAAATTGCTGTGCTTTTTTTCTTGGTGCATCCATGTTAGCATGGCTGAGATTTTGGTCCAGTGCATGGTAGTAGGAGCTGTCATTTGGAGGCTAGATGTGATCACAGAGTGGCAAAAAACCCTCTTGTACTTGAGGCATCCTACTAATTTAAACAAAAATGAGCTTCATCAACATTTTTATGTGTGGGAGGTGATTTTGAATAGATGTTCAGCACTGAAATGAATTTGCTGGAGAGAGACCCTTGAAGGGATAAATGGAGAAGACTGAGAGAGATCGCTGGGAGTCTCTCTGCAGCAATCCTGCTGCAGGAGTTTGCAGGGAWGTGCGGGGGACTACGAGGGAGCAGCGTAAAGCAGGAGCAGTTCTGCTCTCCCCTCAGCTGGCCTCATTCTCCCACGGGATGCTCCTCAGGGAGCAGCCTCTGTATCCTGCCGGTGTGACCGAGGTTGCAGAGCAGGTGACTGTTGCTGGCGGAGAGGGGGGTAGAAGGCAGGACCCAGGCGCTGCCCGCTCAGCATCGCTCAAAGCCAAGGCCTGGCCCCGGCACCTGCGGCCTGGCGCCTGCCTTGCGCCTGTCAGAGCTCAGCCCSTCCCTCAGGGACTAACGCAGGCCCAAGGAGCAGCCCAGGGAGAAGGAGCAGAGAGAGTAATCCCGGCCCGAGGCAGCGCAGCCGTGGTTTCCACGGGCTGGGGCTTTCCTGAAGGCTCAGGAATGTTCTAACGATATGTTTAAAGAAAAGGCRCCCATTTTATTTTAGCCAACTTTTCTCTTCCGGTCTTGTTACGGGATTGCTGGTGGCCGTGGTCATATGGTTGGCCACAAGGCCTGCAGAGGCACCGTGTTCAGAGTTCTCTGGAACAGGAAGGTCAAATTTGCCTCTGTTATTTCTGCTGTGCAAACCCCRTTTTGCCGCTGATGTTGCCAGGCACTTGGAGGATGTATTTGCTAAATCTTCCCACTTTGCTCTTTAGAAATCTGTCTTAAACCCTAGCTCCCTAGCTAGGGGAGTACCAAATAGTGGCAGCCCTCTCAAACAGATTATGAGAGTAGTTCACAATTGCTTTCCAGGACTTCATCTGCTGCTGAGGACAGGTTCTAACCAATGAATCTCARTATCAGGGCCCTAACAGAATCAGTATTTTAGCTGTTCTATCAAAAAAAGAAAAAAAAAAACAAAATTGCCATTAGATATGGCTTGCTAACAGTATTAAGCCATATTGGTTTACATGATGGATGACTTTTTGGAGCAGTAGCTGGTTGTTTACAAGATTCAGAAAATATGACAGAAGTTCTTTTCATAGATTTGATTCAGTCCATTTAACATCTGTCTTGTTAGCAGGGTAGTTCATTAAAAAAATGAATATATTATAATTGTTTCTAATGCTGCTTCTATTTCACTGATTCTTTGTTGCTGTTTGATACTGCACTGGGGAAGAAAGTGTCTAGTTGTGGAAGAAAATATGTAATCAGGTTGATTCAAGCCAACATCAAACACTCTGCTTCAAAATCAGATGATTTAGATTGCTCTAAATTATATATATAGATATTTTAAATCAAAACATTTGTGTCGGTACTAGAGGTTTCTTTTCCTTTCCTCCTTCCTTCCTTTTTTTTTTTTTTTTCCTCGTTCTTCTGATTATGGTTGTATGTGTTTGTTCCCTCTCCCCCCTGCCAATCTGTTTTGTCCTTTTGCTTGCTTGGAAAAAAAACCACTATTTTTATTTTCTCTCACTGACTGCATGGGCAAATTCACTGAGTTAATGGATTTCATTTTACTGAATGCGTTGCATGCTAATTTAATCTGGTTGACTTAACTTTTCTTAGGTAGCATCATCTAGAACTCACCCGGTTCAGGGCCACTTGGTTGTAAGAAGTTCACAAGGCTTTARTAAAGCACTCTCCTTTGCTTGAACAGCTTTCAGACCACTAAATTGCCAAAAGATTAGTCGAATTTCTTGTGGTTCCTCAGAATCACGGGTTGTAGGCTTCTTTGGATCAATTGGATCATGAACTTATTCTTTGGATCATGAACTTATGATTAACATGTATAAGTTCATGAAGGGAGAATGCAGGGAAGAAGGGGCCAAGCTCTTCTCAKTGGTGGCCAGTGACAGGACAAGGGGAAATGGGYATAAGCTGAAACACGGGCAGTTCCATCTCCAAGTGAGGAGGAACTTCTTTCCTGTGAGGGTGCCAGAGCCSTGGCACAGGCTGCCCAGGGAAGCTGTGGAGTCTCCTTCTCTGGAGATCTTCAAACCCACCTGGATGCCGCCCTGTGCCCCGTGCTCTGGGTGTCCCTGCTGGAGCAGGAAGGTTGGACTRGATGATCTCYAGAGGTCTCTTCCAACCTTGAATATTCTGTGATTCTGTAATTGGATCAGCCTACTATGGCTGTTGCAGTGGTCTGCTTGCTGAATCTATACTAAGAAYCTTTTGTGAAAAACTTAAAAGGCATCAAAATCTGTGTTTATGACTTAAAATCTGTGATGGCAATTGGAGGATTATTTTAATTCTCCAATTTTATAAAATATAAAAAATCCAATTTTAGTAAAAGTTATTTTTAGAACACAATCGAGTAGACTTTCGCACTGACTAACCTGAGCTCTCAGTTCCAGTGTCTGTGCTCTGTCTATTGGTCTCCCCAGTGCTTCAGCCATGTGCTACGTGTGCCTCTTGCAGCGGAGGGGTCTCTGCACTCAGGCTCTCAAAAACTATGCGTGTATATTACAACTCTTTGTACATATCTTACAACTCTTCAGAATGAAAAAAAAAAATAGAAATGCAAAGGGTTATTTCTTGCCACCTTTTCTGCTGCTGGAAACCTGGGTGGTAGGGAAGGGAAGTGTGTCAAGGTTATATAGCGACAGCACAATCATGCACCTCTCTTCCAGTGCAGACAAGATCCAAGCAGCAGGAGGAGACCATGATGGAAAATGAGCCCGTAATATCCGGTGATAGAGATTTTAATCAGGAGTTCAAATAAAATATTCATAACATTCATTACTCTGTGTTTTTATTTTTTATTAAGTTTTAATCTGTCATTTTTACTTTGCACACTAGAAAATGAAGAAGTCAAAGAAACCACTTTACGAGAGCTTAAAATGCTTCGCACTTTGAAACAGGAGAACATAGTGGAGCTGAAAGAAGCCTTCAGAAGAAGAGGAAAATTATATTTAGTTTTTGAATATGTGGAAAAAGTGAGTTGAGTTTGTACTATCCTTCCCGCAATTAAATCATCAGATTACTGAAAAAGTCTTTTAAAATAGCTCTAAAACTGGCACTACTGTAACATAAAAAGAGGAATTAGCAGAAGGTGTTCTGAATCCAAATTGTAAGTTGGACCTATATTGTGAGAAAACACCTACGACTTTGTTATTGTCTTTACATCACGAGACATCATTATTATCTCTAAATAGCTTTAAAAAATTGTCATTTATGAACACAAACACATTCAAATTATATAAACTGGAACAGGTGTCATCTGAAAAAAGTAATTCTGTATGAACTCTCTAGTCCAGTTTAAATGTGAAGTTGGTTAAGTAACCTGTGTTGTGTCGTGCAGTTAATCTTGACAGAGTCTTTCAGAACAAGATCGTGCGTTTCTGACCACGGAATCTGTTGCAACTTTATCTGTCCTCCCCTGTTAAAAATAAGATTTCTGTTGCTATTTCTGTGTAACAAGTTCAGTATCAATAGCTGCTTAGATTTGGCAGAAGTCACTGTCATTATTTTCAATCCTGACCTCACTTGAATCYATTCCAAAATTTTCTTAGATTGGCCCATTGCTGCCAAGTGTCCTGGTCTGCTTCCAAGGAGAAACAACATAGAACACATTGGTCTTCCRTTATTTTTGCAACCTTCCTGGCCACAGTAAACTTTACTTTTATATTCTAACCATTTAGCACTTTCTCATGAAAATAACTGATGATATTCAGTTACATAAGGTAGAACTATATGCAAGCATAAAAAATACTTTGTGTCTATGTAGCTTTCCTCAGATATTGTTCCCTTGGTTGAAGTTCTCAAAGTGATTCTCAAAGGCTGCAGYGTGCTGCTTCTCTTCAGTCAGTTTTCCCTTATGTGTAAAGATATCTCACCTTAAATAGGATGTCTCCTCTCCTCAGTTTATAATCAATTGTGTGTTTTCATTGCGTAATGTGAGGTTACCTGTGCTATGACATGGCCTGGTGGAAATTAGGTACCAGCAGATCAGGAACTTCCAGTGTGGTAGATCTTGCTTTGCTCTAATATCCAAACCTTGTCTTACTCTACCTGTGTTTCCTGTGGTTCATCCAGACTCGTTAAATGTCTTTGATCACATACAAGCTGGAAGATAGATTTAATCTTGTCTTATCACTGGCTTGCCTGAGCTTACTCTAGCAGTGGTTTTGGAAGATCAGAATAAGAAAAAATAACTGATTGAAAAGGCTGTATTTCAAAAAATGGTTAATATTTTTGGATAAATAGAGCAGGCTGTTTTACCTAACATTATTTGCATCAAAATATAAGAATATAATGCTAACGATAGATATCACATATAGCCTGTGCACAGWATCTTTTCTGTTTCAGTGGTAACTAATAGTTTCAGTTACACTTTGCAGTCTGTGAATATTTCTCATTTTCAGATGTGTAAAGTAGCTTCCACAGCCCTTTATAGATGCCTTTTAAGACCTGGATAATTTCTGTGTTGATGAATAAGGAATAGTAAAATGAATTAAATAAAATATGGTATAGGAGGTTAATTTTTTTTTAACTGATTATGAGTGCCTTTTGTCCTTCAAGGAATCTTAGCTCTACAATACCCAAATCCAGATTACTTAAATTTACATTTAGTCTAATCTCCTTTGTCCATCATCCCCTTAGTTAATGTCTTCACATAGGATTATGCCCTGCTATGTTGTTTCTGCTATTCCGGTTCATATTTATAATGCTAATTTCTTGGCTAACTTACTGAAAGCAATAGACCTCAATACTGTAGAGATTCTAACTTAAACCAATGTCATATGTGATTTGTGAAGAGAAAGTGTATTTAGAAGGAAACTTGCACTCAAATACATAAATTTCAATATAGATTCTCAGACTGCAAAACATGGCTTTTTATATTTTGAAAAATTACCAAAGGATCTGTTCGTTTTGTATCGTAATTGCATTCATTAAAATATTTTAGAAGAAAAAATCAGAAATATAGAATTAAATGTTTGTCAAAGGTGAGGTAAACATATAATAGATTAAAAAATCTGTTTAATGCTCTAGTTCTAAATTGCATTGTGTAAAACAATATAACCCAAATACTTATTTTTACCTCTGAATTCAGCATATAAGGCTCTTTTTTGTCTTCAGGTGGGCTGTTGCCACCCTGTATGCATTTGATTAGGATTTAGAGTAGGCTAAACTCCGTTCGCCTTCTCAACATGCAAAATTGGAGATGTTTGCTAGCATAACAGAAATCTAAAKGTCCTTTGAAGAGGAGATTTAACAGTGTAAACAGTTAATTTCTTTCCCCTATGTCTCTCCATATCATAGTTAGCTTGGACGCAATTAAGGTAGCACAAAGATATGGAAGATAAATATAACTGATATAAAAAGATTCAGGTTACTCCCTAGGATATTATTTATGCCCATTTGAGGTATTTTTATATATTTATTATTTCATTCACACTGACGGGCTTTTGCCCTGCTAGATGAAAGCAGCAGAACTAACTTAAAAATTAAGAAAATTGTATGTTAAAGCATAGTAGGATAATTACAAAATGCTGTTCTTTGCAATATTTTCTGTACAGCAACACTGAAGTGGAGTTTCTCTTTAAGCAGTCTCTAGTAAGTAAATGATTCTTAGAAGTTCTAGTCTAAGTGGTTTGATGACAGATTTTTAAGGTCTTAGAGTATGCTTGTGTTCACCTTTAAGGAACATTGTCTTCACAAGTGCTTTTTTAGAACAAAAACAGCTAGTAGCATGTGTATAATTAAAATATACTCCTTGAGTGTTGTGGTTTTTTATAGTAAGGCTCACTGGCATATGTAGGTTGCTTTAGTATGTCAAAGACATGTTAATCTGGCTACTGCTGTATATGTTTTTTAAATAATATGTCTTTTAAACACTTAGAATATGCTTGAATTGCTAGAAGAAATGCCAAATGGAGTTCCACCAGAAAAAGTGAAAAGCTACATCTACCAGCTAATTAAAGCAATTCACTGGTGTCATAAGAATGATATTGTTCATAGAGGTAAGTTTGTAGTTTTACATATAGAATTTACTGGTAGGAATTTACTGTAGGGAAATATGTTATAGCCTGAATTAATTTGCACTGATGTAAATATAAGTACTTATTGTTAGGAAAAAGAAAAGATTTGAATTTGGTTGGGTGTTAAGCCTGGCGACCTTCAGGTTGCTTTAAATGAAGTTTATCTATATATAAAGGTTGTTACCCACTGGTGTCTTTGCCATGTAAGCAGAGATTGTATCATATGTCCAGGGCAGCAAAGCTACACCATGAGGAAAAGAGACTATTTAAACATTTCATGGCTCAATCATTTCACATTGAACCTAGTAATAAAATATTAGAAGAGTAACACAGAACTTGAAGCTTGGTCATCTGCTTTTACCTTCTGTATAAGACAGTTCRTCCAATCTCTAATGGATTCAGTTCTTTCCTCTTCAGTTTCAAGCACTTATAATACGTACCTTGATATGTGAGTTTTACTACTTTTATTTATGTTTATTATATTAATGTTGTATTTTTTATGTTCACTTATATTATCCTGAGGTAGTAATCTTATTTTGCTTTATGCCTTTGCAAAAGTAACATGTCTATTGTATATGAGTTTTCATCTATTGGAAACATTCAGTGTATTGTTAGTATTTGAAATGAATCAAACATGGGCAAGAATCTGTAAATATTTAGTGAAATGTAGTTTGAAGAAATATAGCTTATAAAATACTGTAGCATCCATTTAAGAAAAATAAACAGGCTCGTGAAGTATGCTTTTTAAAGGGACAACAAGAAGTGAACAAAAAGGTCATCATAACACCAAAGSTAATGAGTGCATACATTAGTGCTTTGCTGCTTACCCAGATAATTAAATAGGGTTCTGTTTATTACATTGCCAAATGCTGTATTCTGCGTATTGCTTTGATGTCCAGGAACATCTGTAAGCACCTCTTTCATCTWCCTTTATTTTGTTGGGAAACCACTTAAAAGACATTGTAGGAACTGGGTGTTCTGCGTGTTCAGAAACATCGTCATTTGAAACCTGATGGTATTTCTTTCAGCAGTTTCTGTTTAATGCCTTGTTTCTGATTGTTTGAGCATATTAAACTTGGTGAACAGTATAACCTATTAAAATYAAAGAGTAGATAACAGCTGTCTTTTTTTTTTTCCTATTATTTTGATATGCCAGATATCAAACCAGAGAATCTCTTAATAAGCCACAATGATGTTCTGAAGTTGTGCGACTTTGGTAAGTTCAGTAGCTGCGTTTTTGTTTGTTTCTTGTTTGTTCTTTCTTTTTTTTTAAGAGAAATTCTTAGTGCAGTCTTTGCAGTGTGATGCTGTTTTATTCTTAAAAATGTTACACAGTGGATACCACTTAAATTCACTTTAGTTCTCAGAATTGATTACTCATTCAGATTTGTTGCTCTAATTTGAAACATCTCTGAGCTCTACTGCGCATATCTTGTGAAATGCCAGTGTTAATACAGCCATTCTATTCACATGTTACTTCTTCCTATATTTTACAAGGTTTTATTAACAGTGTTATTGGCACTTAGTTAAACAAAGCTTAGATRCTAAATTGATTAGAAGGCTACCAGAACTGTAGGTTTATCTGTAATAAAAATATCCTTATTGTGTGATCCTTAACAGTCCATAAAAGCAATTTTTTACATTTGTCCTCCTTTGTATACATCAGCTTGTATTATTGTGTTAATCAAGGATAATGTGTGATACTACGATTAATGACTGAATGAATAAATAATGACTGAGAATAAAGTCAGAGTTGTCTATGCAATGTGAACTTCGTTATTTCCTGACTAACTAATGCCTGTTTAATGCCACCTTTAAGACTTGGAAGAATTGGCCCCTAATCACAAGACAAACTATACCCATGTGATTAATCCTTAGAAGACAGCTGTGCAAAGTATACACCAAAAACCTGTATTTTGTTCTAAATGCCACATAAATACAGAAAAAACCTACAGTTTGCAATGCTGTATAAAAACCARTTCCAGAGTCCTGCACCAGGGCACTTGGCTCAGAGCTGTTTTCATGAAAGCTGTTATTTCAGACTTCATCAATTTTGAATGGAATAAGGCAGTGTTGAAAAAAAAAAAAAAGAAAAAATACAACAACTTTTAGTGACACAAAAAACGATGTTTGTTTGCAGGACTGCTTTTAATCCTAAACAGACTTTGGCCCAAGCATTAAGAAACAATCACATTTCTAGGAAAAACCTTGACATTTTCAATCCGTATGTGTTCTTTGAAGTAAGCAACTGTTTTCTGTGTGGTGTTAAGAACCACAAATCACAGAATCACYGAATGGTTGAGGTTGGAAGGGACCTTTAGAGATTATCTAGTCTCAACCCCCCTGCAGAYGTGGGGTCACCCAGAGCATGTGACATGGGGCTGCGTCCAAGCGGGTCTKGAAGATCTCCAGAGAAGGAGACTCCACAACCTCCCTGGGCAGCCTGTGCCAGGGCCAGGCACCCTCACTGTTGAGGGTGACTTTCCTTAAGTTCATGTGGAACTTTTGGTGCCTCAGCTTGTGGCCGTTTCCTCTAGTTTTATCAGTGGCCACCACTGAAAAGAGGCCACCCGCTCCTCCTCCCCCCTCCCTTGAGGTATTTATACACGCTGATCAGGTCCCCCCTCAGCCTCCTCTTCTCCAGGCTGAACAGACCCAGCTCTCTCAGCCTTTGCTCATAGGGCAGATGTTCCAGGCCCCTGATCATCCTGGTRGCCCTGCGCTGGACTCTCTCCAGCAGCTCCACATCCCTCTTGTACTGGGGAGCCCAGAACTGGACACAGTCTCCAGATGTGGCCTCACCAGGGCTGTGTATAGGGGAACGATCACCTCTCTTGACCTGCTGGAGACGCTCTTCTTAATGCACCCCAGGATCCCACTGGCCTTCTTGGCCACCAGGGCACACTGCTGCCTCATGGTCAACTTGTCCACCATGACACCCAGGTCCCTCTCTGCTCTCCAGCAGGTCAGTCCCCAGCCTGTACTGTTGTCCAGGGTTATTCCTCCCCAAGTGCAGGACCCTGCACTTGCCCTTGTTGAATTTCATGAGGTTTCTCACCCCCAAGTTGTCCAGTCTGTCCAGGTCCCTCTGGATGGCAGCACAGCCCTCGGGGCTACCAGCTCCTCTTCCCAGTTTCGTGTCATCAGCAAACCTGCTGAGRGGAGGCTGCGTCCCTTCCTCCAGGTCATTAATGAATAAATTGAACAGGACTGGACCAAGGACTGACCTCTGGGGAACACTGCAACTACAGGCCTCCAACTGGACTCAGCACCACTGATCACCACCCTCTGAGCTCTGCCATAAGAAAGTTTAAATAAACGTTAAGTTTTAATTACACTTTAAAGTTGTAATAAAGCCCTAATAAAGTTCAACAGGGGGGCTGCAGAGGTCTTGGGTAGTTGCCTGGGCCCTTGCTGGTGTCTGCAGCTCTTTCCCCRGCAGCCGTGTCCCTCCGCAGCAGCCCTGGGGCGGTGGTTTCCCCTCAGCCCCAGCGCGGCGCCAGGGGGGCTGCCCCTGCCAGCCAGGGCCCTCGCGCAGCCCCAGCACAGAGCCTGCCCTTTCCCCTCTCACTCCTCAGCTTCCTCTTCAGTCTTGATTTTTTTCCCTCCTCCGAAAGTGCCTTTCTCCCTTGGAGCTGATTTGTTGTTTGATGGGGTTGCCATCAGCTAACAAATCTCTGTGTGCAAACTTGTCACGCCATCCTTTGCACAAAGGAGCTTTATGGGGCAATGTGCCAAACAAATGATGTGATCATGTTTTGGACAGCGATTTTCTCAAGCAATGTTAGACAATGATGAATTCCATCAACAGTGTTGATGTTCTGTCTAGTTTGAGAGCTTGCTCATCTCATAGACTGTAGCCAGGTTTTCTTTCTGGTTCTGGAGAAGAAATTCATTCCCGCTGTCCTCCCAGCACCCAGGAGAAGGAAGTCCATGAAGTTGTGAGAACTTGTGTTGCACTCATTGTTTATCTAGGTTACTTTGAACTTAGATTTGGTTAATTTAAAATTATTTAAATTATTTAAATTATTTTAAAATATCAAGCATTCTTCTGTAACTTGGGATCAATTATAATTTGTTAGTCTTACTGCTAATTGAGATTATTGTAAATAGCTTAAGTTACTACTGCAGATGTATCTCTCAGAAGGAAATTAACCACAAGAATTTCGTGCACATACACAGTGGAGAGTGGTGAAATTTGACTTTCAGAATGATATATAACACATGCTGCCTGTCTACCCAACTTACTTCATGTTTTGGAACATGGGTACTTGTCACATGCAATACCACATTCTCATGTGCTGACAACACAGGCAAAGAAGTCTTTATGTCCATCTAAATGCAAATACTGTGGTAACTAGATATTGCAGAATGAACACAGTGGACAAAACTCGAAAAAGTTAGAACTCAGACAAGTTCTTTATGGCCTTTGTGGTGTGTTCTGTACATATTGTACTAGATAAAAATGAGTTTGAATGTGGTGCTTGCTTTGGCACATGTTGCGTGGGTGTAATTTCTGCCAATAGAATTGGAAAAAGAGAACAGTACAAAATGCCGACTACAGCWGATGCATCTGACTGTTACTGGAAATAGTTACGCATTTTGAGTCGTATGTATCGTGTGTCAACACCACTTCTTCAGAATTACTTGTTCTCCTAACCATCTCTTAATCTCTGTATGATGTGTAAGCATAGAAATCATGAAACGCAAGCCTGGAAAAGACCTCAGAAAATTCTTCCCTTCTTCCACCTACTCAAAGGGAGCATTAGGCACATCTCTGTCATTCTTGACTGATATTTCCTCAGTTTATTCTTTAAAATCTAGCAGTGGAGGTTCCATGGCATTGCTAGGTGCCTAGTTAAGTGCTTAAATGGCATTAATGTGAGAGTGGTTTACTTTGTCTAACTCGGATTTGCCTTCTATAAGGAACCAATAATCTTTTCAATTCCTTTTTCCCCCTCCCACCTTTTTCCTTGACATCTCTCCTACCCTGTTAGGAATTTCCTCTGGTGCTTTTTTTGAAATCTATTGTTTTATTTTCATGGTACCATGGAATTGTTATGGTTGGAAAAGATGTTCAAGATCAAGCCCAACCATAAAGCCATCCCCACCCTGCCTGCTGAACCATGTCCCTAAGAGCCTCATMCACACGTTTCTTGAACTCTAACAGGGACAGTGACTCCACCACTTSCCTGGGCAGCCTGTTCCAGTGCCCCACCACTCTTCTTGTGTAGAAATTCTTCCTAATGTCTAACCTGAACCTCCCCTGGTGCAACTTGAGGCCATTTCCTCTTGTCCTAATTTTAGCTGTTCCTCTGTCCATACATCCTGATACACTCTGAAAACTCATTTTTGTAATTGTTGTCTGCTAAATCACCTTTCATCATTTTCAGATCTAGTGCCTTCCTGCTGCTTCAGGTTCAGTCTAGTCTTCCCCCTAGTTGCCTTCTTTTATTTTCATATCTAAAAATTGTTCCTGCCATTTCAGCACAACTCGAAGGAAGGAGCAGCAGTGTTCTCAGCTAGTTTTGCTACTGTAGTAAAAAAGTAAGAGTGTCCTTAGAAGAGGTGTCACACTTCCTTGAAGTATGGATTCTGTCCATCATCTTTCAGCGTGGCAACATAGAATCAAAGCAGTAGTAAAAAGCGTGAGCAGGGGGGTTGGACTAGGTGACCTCTGAGGTCCCTTCCAACCTTAAGCCTTCTATGATTCTATGAAAATGATTTTCTATATTACCCGGTAAAGTAYATAATCACAGTAAAGCCCATGATAATATTTTGTTCTTTCTATCTTGCAGTATCAAATCCATGCTGCACTTGATCGATAAAGGCTGGGGGCTGATCCTTGGTTGGGCTGCAGTAGCTGCTGCTGATCGCCRGCATGATTCGTAGCTCCTGCTTGCGGCCAAGTTCCAGTGGACTGGCCGGAGGGAGGATGCATCCTGGCTCTTGTTGATACATCAGGGACAGATGACGTGGCGCAGACGTGGTGCAGTGCAGCCGGGCTGCCATGGGGTGCTCATTTGGGTCATAGAATCCCTGAAGTTGGAAAGGAGCTCGAGAGATAATCCAGTCCAACCCTTGCACACATAGGGTCACCTAGAGCACAGAGCACAGGCTACGTCCAAGTGGGTTTTGAAGATCTCCAGAGGAGACTCCACAACCTCTCTGGGCAGCTTGTGCCAGGGCTCTGTCACCCTCACTGTCAAGAAATTTTTCCTTAAGCTCCTGTGGAACTTCTGGTGCTTCAGGTTTTGGCCGTTTCCTTTAGTCCTATTTCCGGCCACCACTGAAAAGAGGCTGGTCCCCTCCTCCTCACTGCCTCCCTTGAGSTATTTATAGACACTGATCAGGTCCCCCCTCAGCCTCCTCTTCTCCAGGCTGAACAGACCCAGCTCTCTCAGCCTTTGCTCATAGGGCAGATGTTCCAGGCCCCTGATCATCTTTGCAGGCCTGCGCTGGACTCYCTCCAGCAGCTCCACATCCCTCTTGTTACATCTTGTCTTTTGCTCTTTCCTCGTTCAGTTTGGAGATTCCCACTCTTTGCTTTGGCTATCCACTTTCTCCTGGTTATTTTCATCCTTCTCTCCTCTAAAGAGCAGAGTGAAAGATTTGCTTCACTGACAAGATTAATCAGATGGGTCATGTGATTTGAAACAGAAGCAGAAGTACCTAAGCACTTCTAACTATAGTGCTGTTTGTAATCCTAATATTAGTCTTCAGTAATTAAAAAAAAAAAAAATCCTTTCACGCTTTTCTCTATCAGCATTGGTGAAATTCAGTAGAWCTTTATGGGAACAGGTTAGAATTATTCCTGTGTAGGGTTAAAGAAATATCTCTTATGTTCTCTTATGTAGATGCCTTGTAGATTACTAACTCTTGAAGAAAGGGAACTCTTGAGGAACTGCTTTCTCAAATCACTAGTCTGTTAACAGTCAAGTCACTAGTCTATTAACAATCTCTTAACCTAAACTTTAGCATCGAGGAAATTACTGTACCACAGGGGTCAGTGTGACTGGACTTATTCATACTAAGCTGTAAAATGAGATCCACTTTCACAATAAAATAATCAAAGTAACCTTACAGTCCCAGCTGTGTAGGAAAAATGTTCTTGGCAGTTTCTGCRTAAGAACTTAGAAATAAAGAAAAATGACTGTTATATTTAAGTAGCATTTACTGATTCTGAAAATGAAATTATGCCTGCAGGACTGTAGAATTTTTATTTTTTCTTTGTTCCTTGAGAAATAATAGAAAGACTCCCAGTGATCTGATTGAAGTGAATTTTGGGTCAAGTTTTAGTGCCACATCCCACTAAAACGCATTTTAAAAATTTTGCTTCTGCTGTTCAGCCTCCCAAATTTGTCTCAGTTTGAGCTCCAGGAAGGAACATACACATCCAGGGTCTTGTTGCTGAGCTCTGTCTGACCTCAGTTTCACCTTATTATTAGTCACTTGAAAACAGCAAGATCTGTGATACTTTTCTAAAAATAATGACAGCATCTGCCCTCTAGTACTTCTAAGTGAAGAATCTAATAACCTCATCCCTGTGGTGCTCAGCTTTGTACATTGATAACAGAGGGAATGAAAACATAATCTAAATGATTCCTACTTCTGCCTTTTCCAGTATGTGCCCTCTTCTCTGCGTCGGTGTTCTGAGCTGTTACAAAATTCAAGTCCTGGTACAGTTGTAAATAAGTAAATAATTGTGGGTTCTTAACGAAATGATGTGAAGGAGCAGATTTGTTGAGAGACTTGCTTGGAATGTGATGCTAAAGCAGATGGGGAGCTTGCACCAGTGCAGTATGATAGGTAGTTATAGAGAACATTTTTTGTTCACATTCCTGTCTTTTGGAGTTGTGAGGAAAAGATCATGTTGATTGCCAAGTCAGGTGGACTGCTGGTTTCATCTGAAAGTACAAATCAGAAGAGGAAGGTCCTTGGACAAGAATAACACAGTATCTCAACCAATTGGAAATAAAAAAGATGAATACAGTGTGACTGTAGTAGTCAGGATCAGTGGTTGAAGAGTCTGCTCCCCAGGCGTATGTTAAATGTTCATTGTTACGAATTGTCTTTTGCAGCAAACACCTCACAGTGAAACTTAGTGACTGTGTTTCAGTAGCCTCTGTGGCGTACTGACTGACAAGTAACTTGTGTCAGTCCTCTTCTATTAGGGCAAAGCAGCAGAAGTCAGGGCAGAATGCCAGTGTCTGAGGGCAGTGCACAAGTAAGCTTGTCATTAAAGCGAGCGCACTGATGTTCAGTGTTAATCAATAAAGCCTCTGGTTCAGCAAACACTTGCAGTCCCTGGAGACATCACTGTGCGTTACGGGATATAAATTGCTTCTGTTTAAGTAGGTGTGTGACTGCTTGTTGCCAAAATCAGTAATGGAATGCATATTTATTGAAAAAGAAAAAAGGTGYAATTTTTCATGTTTATTGTTTACTTTCACAGGCTTTGCTCGTAATCTCTCCGAGGGCAGCAATGCTAACTATACAGAATATGTGGCTACGAGATGGTACCGCTCTCCTGAACTCCTGCTTGGGTAGGTGCAGGTTGTAGAACAGCCACGACACAAAAATCTTGGACGATTCTTTACGTTTTGTATCTTTCRTGAGATTTAGCAATGCGGAGCTCTATTTAACTTAAAGGGTAGATTTAAAGAAACTTTAAGATTTTTATGAAGTATTTTGGTTCATTTCCAGTAAGTGGATATGAATCGTTGATCACGATCACTCCTGAAGCAGCACAAAAAGATGGTGCTAGCTTTTGTGGTAAGGAATTTATGGGAGGAGTCTTTGTGAATCACTGTATTAAAGCACTCAACAGCTGCTGTCATGCTACCTCTGCAAGCAGTAGTGGTATGAGCAGCTTCAGCCAGATGATTTAGTTTTGCTCTTTTATCATCTGTAAAATGTGGCATTTCCTTTCTTGCAAGGCTAAATAGGTTTTCAAATATCATGTGAGTAAATTAGGACTCATAAGAGTAAAGGAAGGGACAACAAACTAAAGTTGTACTGCATGTGGTCTTTCCATCACTCTCTTTACTGGGCACTTCTTTCAAGTCTTTCTTTCAAGTTAAAAAAGCACTCTGATAAAATTCCTGTATCAATCTATATATATATGCATACATATATATATATATATAGAGAGAGAGAGAGAGAGAGCTTTCCCATATATATTCTAGAAAAAAAAAGGATTGGTAGCCACAGATTCAATCAAAGAGGAGCTTTAAGCCAAATGCTTCATGCTGCTAAGAAACAGGAGACATTTCTTGAAATGGTAATGCAAAAGATAACAATTACTCTCTCCATAAAGTCATCCCAGTGCTTATGGAGCTCTGTTAATCCAGTTGGTATGAATTTGCATTATTACATGCAGAATGGCATATTAAAGTTGCCAYTAGTATCTCAGAGCCCTTTTTCATAATTTGGAGAAAACAGATATTATTGAATATCCAAAAAGTGCATATTTATTTTAACAACTTGGAAAAAGCATCAGTAGTGGCCATTTTATTTATACAGCATTTTATTATCTGTCTTTATTAATGATCAGGTTTTAAGAGGAAAGACATACACAAAAACTTGTCATATGCCATATTAATCTCACTTGAAACTTTCAAAACTCTTTTGTTAGCACAAGGAAATATATAAGGAATCATGGACGCATATAATTGACTAAATTTATCTCTTTTAGCTGGTAGAGAAAGGGGAGGTTGATGTATTTAATGACTTCAGTGTTGTTGGTGTACTTTTTAATGCCAAGTTTTTCTGACACAAGTAACATCTGTTTCTTGGCAATCCTGTTTGATTTTCCAGAAACTCCTCTTGCTCATTTTCCCTCCCTGTATTTTACCAAATCTTTATAAGCATCTATGATTTGGAAGTCTTCCCAGRATTATTAAATATTTGTATTTTACGAAATACTTCTTGACTTTTTCGAACTTTGAATTGTGTCCCAGAGAAGATTCTGTGTTGCGATAGAGACATTCAAAAACTTGCATTTCATAGGAGAAAAGAAACAGTTACCCACGTATTCACAGAAATTCCCATTGGAGAGCCTCAGGTGACAGCTAGTGGAGTACTTTTGTCTGCTGTGTTTATTAAGGATTTCTAAATACCAGCAGACTTTAAAGCATACGAATTCACTAGTCACATTTGGGCAAGCATAGATTATAGTACTTGAGATTTGTGGTCTTTGTAGYATGCAGGAATTTATTATTTCACTAATCCAACCACAACATTCTTACATTGTTTTCCTTTTGTGGTCTGAGGACACTGATCTTTACTGTCAGTCGGACGGGAGATTGGAACATGCCTTCCCTGACAAAGTATTTCCCACTTAGTTGTTGTAGGAAGTGGACAGTGCTACTTTTCTGACTACAGAGCATGCAGTGGAAACTTCTTTTAGCTACCATTCACCTTCTTTTATTCCRAAAGGCAAAGAAGGTCTCCGCCTAGGTTGGCTTTCAGCCTGTTCTTCAGCTCTAACCCTGGCTTGGTCTCCAGGCCCCAGGAAAAAGGCAGTCTGCCTCTTTCCCACTTCCCATGTCGCCGTAGAGGAGCCAGTCTATTCAAAGGGTTGCTAATAAAGCTGTGATTATTCTTCTCAGGCTTGTTAAAAAAGTAACTGTTTCTTAGTTGTGCTTTCACAAATTGTCTTGCTTTCAGGCATAGATTTTTTTTAGGAACAGATCCTTGGCTTTGGAGTGTGAGTGTTGCGTTTTGTAAAGTCCTTGCAACTGGTCCAGCTTGTCCTTGCAAGTCCTTGCAACTGGGCCAGCCTTCCTTGGCTCTGGCCTCAGACCTGACCTAATGGATGGATTAAACTAGCAAAATCACAGCAAGAAAGCAAGAACATTTAGTCTTTCAGCAAATCCTTGGTTAGCCATTGTTCCAGATTGCTAAAAGGAACTAATGGCCTGCAAAGCCATTGTTCTTGCAATACTTGGGGAGTTTCGGCAGGCTGTGCTTTGCTGGTTTTGGTTTGTTGTCAGTACTTTATTCCAGTGGGGCAATTTTTGATTTTTGTGGTTGTTCTGTTTGTGAAAGGATTGCAGTGTCTCATGGCAGAGGCTGAAAGGCAAGCAGAAATTTTGGCATCCTACATTGGCTTTCCTAGCTGCCTTTGGCTCTGTCAGCAGGCACTTCAGTGTGCCTGTAATTTTCCTCAGACTTTTTTCCAGCTGGACACTGGCTTTCTCACCTTAACCAGCTAATCACGAGGGTTTCAGAGTGCCTTGGGCATGTGCCCTCCTCTTTGGAGAGCCGTAACTGATCCTAAGGAACCAAGAAGGAAAAGGCAGCTTCATTTTTCTATCTAAGGGTGTTCTGCCACTGCACATATTTTAACCAGCAGCACAGAGAAGAAGCAAGGGGAGTATATTTAGGATCAGACTTGTCACCTGCAACTCCAGGTGTTGCCACATTCCTTAAATAAGCAGACCAGCTGTAACCTTTAAAGCTCTCAAAATAGAGGTCGAGTGCAAGTTTCAGAGAGAGAAGCAATAAAGTTTCTGTTCTTTCTATKTCACATACTTTCTATTCACCCTCTATTCCAGGCTTCATTCTTTTTATATGCTTTTCTGTTGAYCTTAGAAGAATTCTCCCATAATTCTGCTAAAAAACTAAACATGCAAAAAAGATTCTAAAAGGATTCTTGGAATAAGTTGAATGTTTACAAAACAATTAAAATCCAGCAAGCAAGAATTTGGGCATAAGGACAATGAATTGTTTTCATCTACAGCAGGAGCCCTTAAAAGCTGAGAATATGTAATGAGCTGGCTGGGTGGCTGAGGTGTGCTGTTAAAAAAACACACCAAGGGACAGACCCTTGGAGTGAAAATCAGGAATGGTCCCAGCGAGGTTCTCTGCTTCCTCAGCAGTCGTGTCTCGGGGTTGGACGTCGCCGTAGTCTGTCACCCCCTCCTTTTCATGGGGATTTCCCCTGGCCGTATTCCAGGTTTCTACCCTACCTGCCTTGCAAACCATCCTCAAGCCTGTAATCTCTCCAGACTGTAGCAATCCATAGGGCATGTACCTCCGTACTACTCTCCCRAGAAAAGCTGGCATAGCCTTTTCCAGGCTTAACATTCTCACCGCTTAGTTCTCRCCGTTCCAAACAAGGCTCCCTCCACCTCCTCGCTGCTGCCCTGGCACCTCTCGTCAGCAGTAGTTTGAAATACCAAGTGCCACTACCGTGCCTGCGTATGCGGAGAGCACCCATCAACACTTCTGCCCAAAGCCCCGCCTCGTGGCTTTGCTCCAGCACCAGAATTATCTATTTTTCATGCTTTAATTGTGTTTTGACCTGTGCTGTTCAACTCGTGACGGATTTCAGAGGCATTCTCTTGTCTCTGTAATTAAAATTCCCCTGTATGAATGCTGAGTGCTGAAACMAAGTGCTGATCATTTTTGTTCTCTCCGCCACCAAATTCAGTAAGCTGGTCCACCTGTTAAGCACAATGGAAAGACAAAGGCAATACAGAAATACACCGTCATCGACCCCTGATGAGAACAGAAGTTTGTGTTAGCTCTAGTGATAATTCCTTCTCAGTCAGAAAAGGGATCCTTGCAGGTAGTTTTGCACCGGAGGCACACAAATCCCTGGGGGGTAATTGAGAATTCCAGCCCTGCCTTTCCAGACAGAAATACATTGGGTAGTCCAGAGCAAAAAAATGCGGACTTCGTATTTGAGGTCTGTSCTTTGATACTCCGATGTATTTTTCCGTGCTGCAGGAAAGCAGGCCATAGCAAACGCAGCCAGTAAGCTGGGGCAGCTCAATAGGGAACGGCGGCGTGGGCGGGCGGGCAGCACTGCGCGTTTGCCTTGCAGAGCCCCCTACGGAAAGGCCGTGGACATGTGGTCGGTGGGCTGCATTCTGGGCGAGCTGAGCGACGGGCAGCCCCTGTTCCCCGGCGAGAGCGAGATTGACCAGCTCTTCACCATCCAGAAGGTGCTGGGCCCCCTGCCAGCCGAGCAGATGAAGCTCTTCTACAGCAACCCTCGCTTCCACGGCCTGCGGGTAAGAGACACAGCCCGGGCGCTCTCGCCGTTGCTGCCATGAAGGCTGCTTTGTAAACAGGCGGTTAAGAATTACAGATGCCTTACAACCTCAAGTACAATGCTGGTTGCACCGGTATTTAGCTGTGTAAATATGTTTATTTTACTGTTAAAAGTGGATTATAAATTCACTTTGATTTTGTGAGCTTCTTGGCACGCGGGTTCGGATTTATACCCGGCTTAGCATTGCTCTGCTGCTGAAGTGCAGTGGCACGACTGTGTCTGCTCAGAGTGAAAACTCCCTGCGTGCTCCCTAAGGCTGCTGTGCCAGCAGTCTGGCCAAGGGTGCTGCTCCGATGGCAGGAGAGCTTCCTGCCACGTGGCTTCTGTTGCTGCATGAGCTGGGTAAGCTGCGTGCTGCAGAGAAGAACCTCTGCCCACAGGGACAGAGATCTCCTGCTCTTGCTCCCTTTTCAGGCATTTCCAGTATCCTTTATTGGCAGAGACTCACCAGTGTGTTGAAGCTGGTCAGGCTGAGATGTAGAGCCTAAACGCTCTCTATAAGTAATGATTCTGCTGCCTTTTAATAACCTCCTGGTCAATGATTKTGCTTCTGTTTTCTTGTAATTCAGTTTTGCTTGGCGTTTTTTCAATTAACGTTGCGTAGGAGGATGACTTTTTGATCTTGATAAACGGCCTGAAGTTACTACTGTAAAAGTCAATAAAGAGATACATAACTATTACATCTGAAAATTAAATGTTTACATCTGAAAATAGACAAAAAAAAAAGGTTCAGGTAGATAAGGCAGGAGTGCTATATTGTTGAAAAAGATGGGTTATATTGCATCATTGTCTAAATGYGTACAGCATAACAATGCTTTAGAAGAAGTTGTCCAGTGTTAAACACGATGTAGAGAATATACTGAAAAAAATACATAGAGGTTTCAAAGAAGTTCCACAGGTTTTACCCTGTAAAAGAGAAAACCAAGACAAGCAAGGACAAAAGCAAAGGGACATAGTTGTCATAAAATGTGTTAGAGGTTGCCATAAACGGGGTTTAGGTGATGATGGTAAGAAGAGTAGTTGGCTTAATGTGTTAGGATAATTAATTTAGCTACAAGGTTAGGTAATCCATAAGAGTTTTTGATCATGTTTGTAGAACCTCTGTCAGTGGAGGTTTTTAAAAATAGTTTAGATTAGATAGTGTTTTAAAGTAGTGGGTTGGACCATGTTTTCTAATAGAAAGTAAATTCAGAATACTTAAGTGAAGTCTGAATAATGGCTTAAATGTGAAAAATACTACAAAATGTTGTCTCAAAATAGCGTTCATTAGTTAATTCATGGCATCATTTTTTCCGGAAGACAGGATTAAAAAAGTTACTCGGAATATACTTTAGTACTTAATGTTGCAAGATGTTCTGATGCATAGCAGATAGAAGACATGCTATATATGCTGTGGTCCTGCAAATGTTATTTACAGACTGGATCCCTCATTGACTTTTCTCCAGGTAGAAACAAGCCTGCAATGTTGAATTGTTTATCCATAAGTTTACCTCTAGACTACTTGAATCCCTGCCTTAACATTACTGTGATTACAAGCATATTGTGGTACAGGATTTTAAAATTTCTAATTCAAATACTGTGGCACCACATATGTATATATATATATGTGGTATATATGTGTGTATCCAGAATAATATTTGCATACTTTTCCCTTCTTCCTCATTTTTCCATGCGTATATAAGCACGTATTTCCCTCCTCCTGAGGATGAATGGGTATGGGGTGGTCCTGCATTGTRTCCTTTTGAGGCAGAGAGCATCCATGCATTTTGAAGACCCAAGGACAAAATAATACAGGATTGCAAAGTATTAACAGACTCATGCCAGTATGAAAAGTCTACCTGAAAGTGTAGAATTGTAAACATTGTTGCATAAATACAGGATAAGTAAACTGTTGATTCCAAACCATCCCAGTGGATAGCAGTCTCAGAGAACAGCTTTCTATCACTTGAGCACATTTTCCCATTTGCCTTATCACTTCTAATGTACAATCTTCTTTATAATGGTCGTTCTGCATGAAGACAAAAATGTTACCCTCTTGGATAAATCAAGGAGGATAAAAGGAGCTTGATAAAAGGGGTTAAATGGTTTGCACTTGTTTGGAATATTCCACTTGCTACAGCCGCTACTGAGAACCTGCTTGCCCCACGCCACCAGTGGCAGGCGCATGGAAAGCCTGTCTCGCTCCGGATGCTGCCGGGGATCAGTACAGCAGTCCGGGCCCTGCAGGACAGCTCACTCACTGCTAAAGCACTTTAAAGGGATGCGAGGTAAAGAAAAGGCAAAGTAGCACAGAGACTGTTGGGGAGCAAGCGTATTCAAACTAATCTGCTTGCATTTCCCCTCAAAGCCACGGCATATAATTTATGAGCGGTAATGGCAGTGCAAACAGTGGCAAGTGATTCATGAGAGTGAAGCCAGCTCTTTTCTGTGTGTTAATAGTGCACATGGAAAGCATTCAGCTTCAATAAAAAAGTCTTCTGGAAATGGGTCTTGGTACTGAGTTACTCTTTAAAACATAGGTCTGAAGTGAGTATTTGCTGTGAGGTAGGTGTGGGTGTGATATGGATATATAAGGATGCGTGTAAGCATCTAGCTGTGGGAACAGCTCCTTAGATGGGCAAGTTGGGAAGATGTGAGTGAGAACAGGTAACACTAACAGAATCACAAAATCACAGAATGGTTGAGGTCGGAAGGGACCTCTAGGGACCATCTAGTCCAGCCCCCTGCTCCAGCAGGGACACCCAGAGCACGGGGCACAGGGCGGCATCCAGGCGGGTTTGGAAGAYCTCCAGAGACGGAGACTCCACAGCCTCCCTGGGCAGCCTGTGCCAGGGCTCTGGCACCCTCACAGTGAGGAAGTTCCTCCTCACMTGGAGATGGAACTGCCWGKGTTTCAACTTACATCCATTGCCCCTTGTCCTGTGGTAAAGATCTTCACTGCTTCCTGCTCCTTGACTCTTCAGTCCAAGCAAACCTCCACTTACAATGCTTGTTTTCATGCTCCTCGTTTTTCTATTGTCTGCTGTCGCAATAACAGACTTGATTTTTTTTCTTCTATTTTCAGCTGTCTTAACTGTAGCTCACTATTTTATGTGGGTATATTTTATGTATGACTCAAGCCCATTTGAACATACTGTGATGGCTTTTATGCACTGGGGTAAATACGAACGCCAGAAGACAAGGATGCTGCATGTTCCCTGTTGTCAGTGTTTTTGCTTTCATGTATTAGCTCAAGAGGATTTTTTAGAAAATACATACTTAGAATATTGATGGGATCAAAGTAGGTCACAGTGAAGCACTTGTGCCTGTTATGCAAATCTGCACAACTCTGGGAACTGTAAACAAAGTGCCTGGCTGCGTTACTCTTTGACTCCYCCCAAGAAAGGGTATTTCTTTTGCAAAAAATAATTTTAAGAAGTGTGCACTACACTCAAAAGCTTATTGTAGTGGATTCATCTCCAAATATTTGCTGATATCTAGAGGGATAAAATACAGCTAACAGGATTTGTCATGTGCTACTATAGAGGTTATTACAAACTTCTTAATCTCACTTGTGTAAATTTGGATAAAMTGATTAATGTCAGTAGGCTCTTTTTTCTTTTTTTTTTTCTTTACTTTGCCTGCTTTTCTTTCTGCATTTTTCTTTTCCTTTTCCTCTTCATTTTCCATTTTTTTCCTTTTTTTTTGCCCTCTTTTTTTCATCTCAAAAGCTGCTCTGTTATTGAAATGCTCAATTTTCTCTACAATCAGCATCAGTTAAGATTGGGTATTTTATGCCCTTCTTGATATCCCGACCCTTTGTTTCTAATTCTGAACACTGATCTGTATATTTAGCTTTTACACTTCAAATTCTCTCACTGAAACCCATTTACGTRTTTTGTTTGTTGTCAGGTCAACACACGCCATTCCCTGGGAGTCCATCTTTGTTGTCTGTTCCTTTTCAACTCGCTGTACTTGGTGTTATGGCATAGCAGTGAAATGTTGAGCAAATTTTCGTTCATTCAACTAAAAGAAAAGGTTCCCTTTCCATTTCATTTCTCTGTGGGGCTTGTTTACACACCAAGCAAGATCACTTGGTGGCAAACCTCAGTAGTAACCTGGCTCAGATGGATAGAAAGGGATGTTCTGCCTATGCTGACATCCTGTGCTGGGTGAGGTGCTATCTTCTCTTCATGACTTAGAGAACTTTTCAGATGAGTTCTTCTAAATTGGTGGTGTATCTGAGTCTGCTTGTTTTGTTTTTTTTTTTTCTGACTTCTCATCTCAGTATACCAATATTTTTACTCTTTCTCTCTCTACTGCTTATTTCACCACTGTTATTACTTAAAGAGTCTTTAATCTGAGGCTGTTGACCACGGATTTGTGACCCAGTGAATGAGTACCTAACTTTAGCAGGGGAATTTTTAAAAAATATTTTCTCCTCATTTACCTATCTAATTAAAGAGAAAAAAAAAGAAAAGAAAAAACATCTCTAATTGGCACAATAGATGTACTGAATATTTGTGTTTCCTCTATCAAAGCACCAAGTGGTTTACATTATAGTGTCCTGCATGTTGGGAATGATTGGATTAATATTGACATAAGGAATGCGGTCMTTCAGATTTAGGAAAGGATGCAGCTGCAAGAATATCCACTGTCCTTTACAGCATTCGTTTGGCTTTCTGCAACTCTGCTTGTYCTGATTATTCAGCTAATCACGTTGCTGAATCATTTTAAAACATTATTGTTGTATCCCTCCTTGAAATGTTCAGATGTTTTTATGTATTGGTAAAGATACGGCCAGCCTTCATAACCTCGTAAAACAATAATGAGAAAATAAAAACCCTTTTTTTTCCTTCTTCAAATCATGCCTGCTTGTTGCCTTCCCGGTTAGGCCTCCTTTCGAACACTGCCTTCGTCTGGCTTTGCCRGGACTGTAGCTGCCGGAGATGCCCTGCAGCAGTGGATAGTAATTCCTGCGGTGTTGCCAGTTCTCACTGCAGCTTGACCAGAGAGCTGGCGCCGAGCATGAAATCTCTGCATAGCAGCCGTGCGGTTTTCCTGAAATTTTCCCCTAAAGCATTTTGGAGTTGTTGGTTAATCTTTGATATGTAGTTAATACATATCAAAGTACATGTGCAGTGTACAACAATGAAGTTATTTCAAGGCTATTTTTAATCCTGCTTTGGGGGAGGAATATTACTTACATGAATTCTTGAGCTATTTTAAACCACCCACTCTTTGTCAGTCATAATGCCACAAGCATATTTATAAATCTAACTTGATTATMATTTTTCATTTGTGAGAAATTCTGCTGACTAGCCTACTAATGAGGAATACTTTCCTTGCTGTGAGTAGATGCATTCTGGTACATCAGTTATTTATGTTTCACCATCATGTTTTGTAATGTTTCAGAAAGCACTGTGGCTTTTAGCACCTAAGCTTCTACATGATTCCCATTAAGTTATATGCCTTTACTCACTGTGTAGTTTCTGTTTTTTGAAAGGCTGTATTGATATATACCTTGTTTACCTTCTCAGCATACTTACGCTAAATAACTTTTACAGTTCCCTGCAGTTAATCATCCACAATCTTTGGAGAGAAGATACTTGGGAATTTTAAGTGGTGTGTTACTTGACCTTATGAAGGTAGGAAAATGTATTTCTTTTCTTCCTATAATGTGAAGGGAAATACGTGTTTTATCTTTGTTTCCTAATACAATACATCTTAAAAGTATTTTTGCATTTCCTTTTGGGATATTTTGATATCGTCACWGTTTGTGACTTGATATTTCCAAGAAGAAACATATCCTTTGCAAAAGCCAAGGGAAGTCTGTTCAAATTTGTTCAAAGTATATTCTAAATATAAGAGTTACCGGAATTTGCACCGGCGTGCGTGGRCACCGATGACCATTCACATGCAAAGGTTACTTCACTATTGCTTCAGAGTGAGTGCTCAACCTGTGATAAATTTAGATAAATCCACATCGAAAGAAGATTATGCTACGCTGAGGAATTGTGCACTTGTTGCTATATAAGCAGGAGGCCATGGACTGTTGTCAGAGATGAAGTTGATKTGTAATTTGTTTATATGTCTGAGCTCTTAATCTGCTGTCTGCTGCTTACCCCTACACAGCCCATTTGGGGGATGTTCTCCAGTCCTGTTTTGGAACAAGGCAGYTACTTCCCTGTGGCCACACTAGGATATGGTTCTGAGATGGTTTCTTGCAGGTCATCTGGAGTTGTCTCTTTCCAAAAAGGTCCCATGCAGTGAAATATCCTGCTGCTCATCGGTGCTCTGTGCCTGGGTGTGCAATGCATTCTCAGCACTGTGCTGTAAAAACATTGCTCTGGTGAGCTGCAGCACAACCCCCCTATTATTTCAGCCCCATTAAGCTGAAGAAACATCACAATAACAGAAATTACATTTTTAGAGTCTCGGTGGTACCACCTAAGAGCTAGAGGCGAGCTGGGACAAGCACGAGCGGGTGCGGATAGGGCTAATCAACTTGGAATGAATTGTGTGATCCCATGCCAAGCTGTGCCAGTTGTCTTGGAAACCAGAAGGCATCTGTTTGGGGATACACTTGGCTTTTTACTTGCCTCTAAAGGTATTGATGTGATTGGTAGAAAACCACCAAAGTTGTTCCTGGGTTTCGTTTAAAACAATCAGTTCAAGTCACTTCCTTTAATGTCCCTACTATAAAGAGTATAGAGTCAACGTCAGTATAAAGAGTCAGGTTTATACCTTGGTTTCACAAAATCTGCAAAGTTAGGCTCCTTGCGGGTATGTAACTGCTTGCTAGGGCATTCTGCTCAGTTTTGTAGTTCACAGAAAAGAGCTTTCTCTTGGCATTACAGATAACTGTAGCTCAAGCTTCAGTTGGGCATGTATTCAGAACAGTTTGAAGATTATTCTTCAGACCATTCTTATGCATGCTYGAGTTACCTTATTTTTCTTTGTTTTATCATATATCATTTGTGTTACACCTCAGAGCTTTGGGGTTCTTTTGCTGTGTTTTACAAGTTACAAAATTGCAAAGTTAAGAACTTGAATGTTAAGGAACATCGGTTTCCTAATAATTCCATTCCACTTTTGTTCAAGAAATTCTTTTTTGCATTTTTGTGGAAAAGGTTGGGGCTTCTGTATGGGGGACATTTGTGTATTTAACATATTATTTATTTCAGAAGTTGTAAAGTTGCTAAAAATTGAGCAAACACTACAAGAAGAGAAGAGATGTGTGGTTAAGTTGCATGCTAAAATTGCTGCACATACTTTGCTCTCTGCCTGTCTCATCTCCAGAAACGGGCAGTCTGGCATATGCCCACACTTGGTGTGTTCCTCATTATCTGCATTCCCAGGAACCTCTGATTACTAGATTACTGAGTAAGCTGAGCTTCAACTTATGTCAGCTAAATCTCTGAGATCTTGATCTATCTCTAAGGAGGGCATTTGTGGTCTAGAGGAATGAAGCGGCCTCCATGTTGGGTAATCCTGAATTTTACTCCTCTAGACCAGGGACATCTGGTTCCATGGTTTTCCGTGCTCCCTTCCTCCCTTCTCCTTCCCAAACCATGCTGTTACACAACCATGCACTTGAGAGTYTAGGAGCAAGCTTTGCATGTGACAACTTGGGCAAACAAGACATTGAATATTTCCACCTCTTCCCCATCACCTGTAATATACTATCTCCCCCGTTCAGCAATACATATGTATTTTTTCTAAATACGTAACTTCCTTTTGCTACTAGAATAGTGGTAGAATCCCTTCTTGTTATGTTCCTTGATTCCTTTAGCTCCAGCTTTCACTCCAGACTTTGGTCTTAATTGCTTCCTTTCTGTTCCAAAGCGGTGCTTTCGTTTTCCTCCTCCGTATCCTGTCCTTGATTCTCCTTCTTACATTGTCCCTTTTTGCATTTCTGTTCATTAAGAAGTTCCTTCTTTAGCCAAGCAAACCTACCAAGTTTTGTGGTCTTCTATGTAATGAGATGGTTTATGCCTGAACTCTCCGAGTTTTTCTTTCTAAATCAGCTGCCTTGCTTGGACACCTTTCTTCTGATGGCAGCTTTCCCAGGGATTCTGCCTAGCAATCCCCTAAAGAAGTTGATGTGTTCTCCCCTAAATCCAGCGTCCTATCCCTGCTTCTTGTGTTTCCACCCGTCCTTTGAATCCTGTCCTTAACCACCTCAAGGGTGGCTGCCATCCAAGTGTCTTCCGTGAYGAGATTTGTCATCAGTTCTTTACTGTTGAGGAGTGAGTCAAGTAGGCTGTGGTTCACGCCTTGCTTGGTTGGCCTCTCCWAGAGCTGCGTTAGGAAACTCTCAGCAACATAGTCTAGAAATCTCATGGTTTGTCTGCACAGGCTGGATATCTGGATAACTGAAATTCACTGTGAGGACAGGGGCCAGTGGTTAAGAAGTTCCTGCTTGTTGTTACAGAAAGTCATCCACTTCATCCTTTTGGACACATGGTCTGTAGCAACCTCCCTCTGTAACAACTCAAATGTAGTTTTCTCATCTAATGCTACTCCAGAGACTGTCTACAGACACACTTTCTGTTTTATCCCTGATGCAGTCCAGGAACCCATTGCAATGGAGTGCCACTCTGTACCCTCTCCCCATCCCACATCCTTCCGAAACCAGCCCTAGCTCGCAGCAACCATGGTCTAGTGCTCTCCCAGCAGCTGCTTGTGCTCCCGGTCATGTTCACAGCCCTGTGACCTGCCATGGACTTGCATTTCTCCTTGCTTGTGATCCAGGCACTTCAAGGTTGTATGAAGGAACTTGAGGTTAGCCCCTGACCATGCTGTCATGTAAGCAGGGGTGTGAGGGTCACACTCGTAACCTTCCCGTGTKTGTTTAGGACATTTGAAACACTGTGGTAATGAGCACCAGAACAAGRAAGTTAGGAAAAAAATTAAGTCAATGCACAATTTGTCAGTGGGAAAATGCAGAGACTACATGTCTGTGACATAATTGCTTTATTTCTTGACCATTTTCCATTTTTGAAGGGCAGGGATCAATGCTGTGAAGGGAAGCTAGTGTATGGCTAAGTGATTAAATACTGCCACATATRTAGCTACATTTGTGCAGCTGTGTGTATGTAACTGTACACATACACACAGAGGCACGTGCACACGTGCACACACACATACATAGACATCAAGCTGTTTTTTATTCAGTTTATATAACCCTTAAAAATATCTGCTGTTCTTATTTAATCATCCTTCAAACTTTCATCCTTGCTCACAGTCATGCATGTTGAAATATTCCAAGACTTCTTTAAATTTCTACAAGAAACTTTTCTTAAAAAAACAGCCCTTTGGCTGCTATTGCTATCATTTAACATTCATTCTGTGCATGTCAGAAAGTGTCTTTGTTCAGAAACATACCAGATCTAACAAAATGGTAAAGCAGATGTTAATCTGAGCACATTCTAAACAGTTTAGATGAGTCCCTAAAAATATGAATGAACTTGAACCCCTACTGAAGTAAAAATCAGAATCCTTTGTTTTTAAATATATGCTATTTAAAAGAATATTTTTTGTTAAGAATGTTCTGTTTGTGTGTTTGTTCTGTTTATGTTTATTGAGCCTGTTTTATTGATTTTTATTACAGGTAAATTTGATGTTTTTAATTGCAAACAATATTCTGATGAAGTATATCCTGAAAAGTATGTTTTTTTAAAAAAGTAGTACTATTCATAGTAAATAAGCTTGAGACCTGCCAGTCGTAAGTAGGATACAGTGTTTTGAAAGTTTATTTTACTTGTGTTATGTGTAAGTTAATAATATAACATCRAATTATTCTGACATTTTTGTCTAAATCACAGAAAATCTGGAGATTAGAGGACTATTCCAGTAATGTTCTTTGCTTCATTTTATTTTTTGCTGCTGCCAGTACAGATACTAACACTTAAATTTCTGGGGTTTGTTTTCCAAAGAACTTACTAAAGCTAGATCCAGCAGATAGGTATTTGACAGAGCAATGTTTGAACCACCCTTCATTTCAAACTCAAAGACTCTTGGATCGCTGTGGAAGTTCTCCTTCGCGGTCAACCAAGAGGAAACCTTACCATGTAGACAGCAACACGTTGTCTAACAGGTAAATGCAGCCGTGTGACCATCGCACCTGTCTTTTGTTATGGCAGTGAGGAAGTCCCTGTCGTGTTTAAATCCAATATCATCCTCAAGAAAATGTAGTTCTTCAACATATTAGGCACTTTTAGATATATATAGATATATATCTTCCCATTTTGTTGAACCATATTGTTCTGTATTGYTCAAAGAAATTCTCCAGTGCAGAGAGCCTCATGTTGTTCCTCTAATAAAAGACTTCCTGGAGGTCACCCTCCGAAGCGTGCAGGACAGGAGCATTTAATCCTTGACATGGCTAGGATTGTTCTGCACGTTTTAGAAGATCTAACCTTTAACTTTTTTTTCTTTAGCTTCTGCTTTGAAATCTAAAAAAAAATATTCCTCATTTTGAGATCTGGGGCTATGGCTTTAACAGTTTTTACTGACTGTGAGGTAGGCACCAAAAAGATTTAGCTGCCCTTATAAATGTTTTTGATGGCGGGTTTTTTTGCACACACTCACACCTTTCCCCTCCCCACGTGCACAGACCTACCTTACCTGACTAATGGAGCATCGACAGTGCAGTTTTTACTCTCAGTGTTGGCATATTTGATTGTTCTGCCTTAACTTTGGCGYATCGGATGCATTTAAGAATTCTTTCAATTAATATACAGATAATGCAGTGCTTACATTAGATATATCATTCACAYGTAAATGTGAACATGTAAATATAGAAGCTGGAATTTTTGAATTTGTTTTAAAATGTTAACCAAAGCTGAGTTTGTCTGCCAGGATTTAGCCATTAAGAAACAGCAATGTACTAACACATGCACATCTGTTGTTCTAGGGGAGTTCCTGCTGTCTAGCTGGTAATATCTGATATCAGTACAGTTAAATTTTGTATTTTAAGGACATCTCTTTCTTGACATGAGTGTGCTTTTGTTAAAGTTGAGGTTATTAACACATGACTATTTTGTCTGGTATATTAATCCTTCTTTATGCGTTCTGATGTAGAAATCAAGCCAGCAAAAGTTCTGCCTTGCAGTCACATCACAGATCAAACAGCAAGGATATACAGACTCTAGGGGTTGGCCTGCCAAGAGAAGAAGGTCTTCCAGCAACTGAAAGCTTTTTAAATGGGAACCTCCCTGGAGCTGCACCTAGCCCAATGCACGCAAAAAAATCAAGCAACCCACCCGGGTCTGGCAACAAGGATCTAGCCAATAATAACATGCCCCATCTTCTCAGTCCAAAGGAAGCAAAATCAAAAACAGAATTTGATTTTAATRTGGATTCAAAAAGCTCGGAGGGCCCCGGTACAAAGTACCTGAAGCCAAACACCAGATCTCAGCAGAACCGGCACTCGTTTATGGAGCCTTCTCAAAGCAAGACCGGGACGCTGCAGCCCGCTGAGAAGCATAGCCGCCATAGCTATATCGACACGATTCCACAGTCTTCGAAGAGTCCTTCGTATCGGACCAAGTCAAAGAGCCACGGGGTGCTCACCGACTCCAAGTCCGTGGGCAACCTCTCCGAGGCCAGGGCTCAGGCCGCGGAACCCAACAACAGCAGGTATTTCCCATCCAGCTGCATGGACTTGAACTCTCCGACCAGCCCCACTCCTCCGCGCCACAGCGAGAACAGAACTTTGCTGAGTCCCTCTGGGAGGAACAACCGCAGTGAGGGCACCCTGGATACCCGAAGACCCTCCACGAGACACTCCAAAACGATGGAGGAGCTCAAACTGCCCGAGCACGCGGACGGAAGCCATTCTCACTCGCTCTCTGCTCCCCACGAATCTTTTTCCTATGGTCTAGGTTATACCAGCCCTTTTTCTTCACAGCAGCGCCCTCATAGACACTCTATGTATGTGAGCCGGGACAGAGTGAGGTCAAAGGGCTCAGAGGGTGGCTTAAACGTAGGGCAAGGGATGGCAGCCAGAGCAAACAGCCTGCAACTGTTATCTCCACAGGTGCAGCATAAGTCACTCACAAGGTCTGTTGGCTCCTCACGAGAAGACTGTACGGAAGATGCTAATAGGGTTAGTTCTTACTACGGAAGGCTTTGCTTCCTCTCTCCGTGCCGTGGAGGGAAAGCGTCCCGCTTCCCGGTCATTTGTTTGCGTAGTTGTTTGGTGATTTGCGTTGCTTCCAGGCCGGGGTTATTAGCTTTTTCGGACAGGCTACATATGCAGAGCTCCGTAAAAGAGGAAGAGCTCCGTTAAAAAATCCTTGACCAGTTAATGCCATGCTCTTAAAGCACTAAGATGGGAGAGCAGGCAGTGTGTCTGTGAAATTAAAATGTAGTAAGTAGTTACTATTCATTGGTTATGATCTCTGATGTCATTTTTTACCATTTTTTATTAACTTTCTTTTTTTTTCTTCTTTTTTCTCCCTTTATTTTTCTTATATGTCTTTTTGCTATCAAAGCCAATTTTAAGTATTTTGGAAGTGAGCTTTTCACTCRTTTATAGCAGAAGATTATGGCTGAAATGCCATAATTTACTAGCGGATTATCAAACGTGCTGCAGTATTTCTCTTGATGAGTGTAATAAAGTGTAATAGAAGAGCAGGCTAGAGATATTATAGTGGGGAAGCCACTGCTTAACCGCCTCTGTAACAGTCATTCAGTGACTACTGTCACTCAATGTCTTGTTACGTTTTGATGTCATCATTATTCATGAGTCTATAGCCAGAGCCAGTTTTCCATTGATTTACCTTCCTCACAGAGCACCTCTGAATTATTTGAAGTTTTCCTCAGGCGGATTGTGTTTGACCCCACATCTTTAAATTGCTGTAGTATTCATGCAGCAAAATGATGCAAAGAAAGGTACAGAAAATGAGCATTTTTTGGTGCATATATTTGTGGTAGAATGGCTTTTAAGAAGAGAACACCTTGTTCAGATTTGTTGACAAACTGGAGGAAGTCAGAAAAGATCTGTAATAATTACTTAAGATTTAAATTACATGTTTTTATAATGAGAGACCAAAAGACTTTTGTCTACTTAGAAATAAGAAATATTTGAAAGCTAGGAAATATTTGTTGCGCACTTGATAGCAGTCTAGAAATATGATTAAAAGTTTTCCATGAGTTGGTGACTCTTCAGTAGGAAAAATGTCTTTTTTTTTTCTCAGTAAGCACATTAAAAAATCACTTTTATATTTACCGTATCTCCTCCACTTTATCTATCTATCTATCTTCRTTATAGGAGGAAAACTAGGCAGAAATACAGTCCATTTAAATGAGAATAACCTTTTAAAAGTAATTATAGCCTCTCCATTTCAAAACCAGGTTTTATTTCTATTTCTGTGTAGTCATTTTCTCTCTTATTTCACTTTAGCTGGATGTTACTTATTCTTGAAGATGTCACCAAAGGCAGTAACACCAGAGTTTTGATAACAAAAGCTCACGCTGCCTTGTACTTTCCAATTTATTAGGATCTTTTTCTGCAATATGTAGAGAATGTTAATTTGATAAGCAATTTAAAATTTTCTATTATGTAGGACAGAGTGTTATTATAAAATCATTATTTCTGTTTGACAGCTGGTTGACAGACTTGTATTTTAATTAGAAAAAAATGATATACTGCCCACAGCTTATGATTTCATTCATTTTGGCCTGCTTTGGAATGTGTGTTTGAATCAGTTACTTCTAATTATTTTTATGTGTCCTTATCTTTATGGTCAATGTTTTTAAAGTCTTAATTTAAATTATTTATTTTTAAATTATTTTAAATTTAGTTTTAAATGTGCATTTTCATTGGAGTCTGAAAGGAAATATACAATTCTGCAGTGCTCTTCAGCAATTTTTTGTTTTAATAAGTTTCAAAAATAAATTAGAATTAAATTAACAGTCTTATTAAGCCTCATAAAGGCATTTTCACAAAGAAATAATTCTTGTATTTTCTCCAGTCATTTTTTTTTGACATGCGCTACATTAGAAATCAGAAAATTCCACTTCCCTCAACATTACTGAACTCACATRTTCAAGAATATCATGAGTGTTCTCCATGTTTCTTTATTCCTATTTTTTCCCTAGCCAGTTCTACTGATTTCTGTCCCACCATCCCTCCTTCCGTCCCTCCCTCTTCTCCCRCTTTCTCTCCCTCTCCTGCTTTTCCTGTTGCTCCTACTTCTCGCTCTGTCTCCCTCCACTTTTTATGAAGTTTAAAGAAAGAAACAAGAAAAAGAAAGAAAAAGAGAGAGATGTTCAGTGTTAGTTTGAGGTTTTTATGTCTCCATAAAATACTTAGGGGCTTTTCAATTTTTAGGTTAATGTACACAAGAGGGGTCAAGCAGAAGAAAATCAAGTACAAGTTGCTATTACTGTTTCTTACTTGTCACTTAACTGCTGATAAATAAGATCTATGTTACAAGTACGAATCAAATGCTTCAGCCTTCTGTAAATTTTAGAAGAACCAAACTGCAATTTAAAGTTTTTTTTTAAGTTGTATTTCTCATCGTGGCACAATTTCAAGAGTTGTTTTATCTGTGCCAGTGAGGCCAAGTCATTAATAAAAGGCAATGTCGTTTTTGCAAATCCCTCGCACAGTGAATTGAAATCAAAGTCCTTTTGGTTTTTAACTTTTTGTCCATTTGGGCATTCTAGATTTATACTTGGGTTTAGGTATAATTTCCTGTGTGGTCTTGGAGAGATCATTTAATTTTATCTGGTCCTTATTGCAAAAATAATTGTAGCCTCTGGTTCATTTAAGATTAGGGTTGTCACATTTAGCAGCGAATTCTGTTCATATCTGTTCCTAAGGACATGCTTAAAGCACTTTCCAGAAAGTATTTTATTCAGTAATATAGAGGTGATTGTATCTTTTTTTCTATCCCATCCAAGTTAACTGTTAAGCTTACAAATTTTTAAGTTCAGAAACTACCTCATTATTTGTATGGTAGACTTTTTGATTGTTGGTACCTCTAGGTGCTAGCAGATAAGGGATAGTGCTATATTGTTGCATTTATCACAGATTATATGCATTTCCTTTTTACTTCTTAAAATTTGCTGTTAGCAGAGTGACCAGATCCCATCAGAAATGAATTTAACAAGACCTCCAGGAAAAGATTCCTCCAGAGATGTTACAACTGTATTTCAGTCACAGCAAAAATCTGAGGTCTGAATCATGCTAAAGTCTTTAAAATTACAAATAAGGGGCAAAATTTCGTTAATGGCATTTTTTTGTCCTTTTGAAAAAAAAAAAGGCAAAACCACATAATTATTGATTCCATAATCTATGGCTTGGTAATGACAGCTAATTACATGGTAGGAAAATTGTGTGYAGTTAAGTTTGGGATTTCTTGTTTATGTACATTAAAAACAATGCAGATGTTCTTTAATTTTAAGTAGTTGACTGTTCTTCTGTCTAGGGTGGAACATATCATGATCCACACACAGAAGATGGAGCATCTACTAAGGAAAATAGAATTCTCTATAATGACCCTGTTCCAAGAAGAGTTGGCAGCTTTTACAGAGGTAACTTTATGATGCATTTTTCAAAATTATTAAAAAAAAAAAGTTTTAACATATAACTAAAACAGTAGAAATCAGTACTACAAAGTAACATAAATAAATAAGAAAAAATATAGGGAAAAAAAAAAAGAGACTGAGTTGGCCTGCTAGATAATATATAGCAATTGTATTAGTGTCATTATTTATTTTCAAATGATAACTCACTCTGAAAAGTGTATCCAGTACAGTACCTTGTAAAASACAGGGTAGTTTTATCAGAGGGTTAATGAAAATAAATGAAAAGCACCAAAGTAAACAGTTTAGCAGTTTCTAAGCATCAATTCCTATCTTAAATTCTTATTATCATGGTATCTAAACACCTTAGCACCCATAATAAATTACCATACTTATCAATCTATTTGAGTTAATACGATAGGTTTATGGAAATGCAGTTCTTGCTTTTAATCAGTAGAGTCCTATATTTATATCTTTGTTCAGATGTATTAAAAATCAGAGTTTTCTATTAGAGTAAAACACATTTATGTAATTCTAGTTCAGAATAAATAATAGAACAGGAATGGGTTCTCTAAGAAATAGAGAGAGAGAGAGACAGCCACAAACACGTACACTATCCTGTGTTAAATAAAAGATGGTGGTTTGTACACGAAAGAGGGTTATTTTGGAGCAGCTGCCTCATGGTTAAACCTGGGTAATCCTTTTGAAAAGGAGGAGGATGATAAGAAGCTAATCACTGTTCTGCAAGTCTTAGGAGGCTTGTGAGACTCTGCTGATCATTAAGAACTCCCAATCAGCTAAAATTTGATTATGAGTCACCTAACAACCTTAAGTAGAGTCATCAGTCTCCCACTGATCCTCTTTGGGTTCATCACTTGGCTGATGACCTGATGTTGTCATGTTAAAATCCACCAATCCTCCTCGCAAGCATCCCTGGCAATATTAAAACTTGTTATACGTTAAAGCTTGTACTGTGGTGGGCAGTGCTTTGGAGTAACTAAGGGTTTGGAGCATATGGAACAGAGAATCCTCAAGGATCCTCAACCCTGAATTGCTTTTATTAATCCTTGAAATAGTCCTATAATTTGGACATGGGTTATCTTTTTGTATATGTGTATAAACGTAATCAAACAAGAGATTCCAAGGAAGGAGGACTTCCCTAGGTCATGTGCTAAGGGGACCGCAGGTCTGTGATTTATTTCAGTACCTTATTACAAATGTCCTTCCTCCTTAATTTTATCTTTGAAACTAATATATTTTACTTTGCGGATTTAATTATAGTGGAAACGCAGTACTGTATTTAAGTAACACATTGATAAGAAACTAATTGGCAGAAAACATTACTATGAAAAAAGTTAATTCGTATTTGCTTAATTCTTAAATATTGACTTCCAAGTATACAGAAATGTATATTAGGATGTATTTGTGTATTACAACTTAAAAACTTGTTACAGTCYCCTCTTCTGTCTTCATATTCCATTTTGATGATTACTGCATGTACCGCTAGTACCCCACGATGCTGCAGTAGCAGTGCAACTAGCATCTGAATTGTTTTTAATTCAGTACAGACGTTTCGGGTGGATCCCATAGTTTTGATAACAAATTTAATTTTAGGTATGTATAGCCAATTTTCAAAAATATACAGTAGGAATTTTGAGWTGAGTATAATAGATCTGTTATTAAATAAAATCTAGTGTCTAATTTTGATCCTTATTTGTATTGAGCAATATCTTCCTCCTACTAGTTGCGCTAAAGTCCTTTTTTTCAAGTCAAGTATTTTTAAAGGCCTGAGTAAAGATAAACTGCAAACTGTAGTCATTAGTGTCTTTAATAACAATATTGCAGCCTCTTTTTCCACTTCCTATTTTTATATATATTTTGCACAACAGTTCTCTATAGATAGATAGAGTCTCAAAATCCAAGAATGTGTTACYCAAGTTCTGAAGACAGTGGACTGTAATAACCTTAGCTTGACAAYGTCACAGCCAACTAGGTGTCCAACCTATGAAAATGTCCATTGCTTGCTTCTCGTTGTACAGGAAGCTCAACAATGTCTTCCCTGTTCTGTAAAAATAAAGAGGGAGCAGGGAGCTGAAAGCCGTGACGTTTGATGGGGTTCAGTATGCATTGATTGCTGTTTCTCTGTTCAGTTCCATCTCCGCGTCCAGAGAGTACATACCTAGAAAACAATGTGTCAAACAGAGCCCCTGTGTTACCAGCAGACAGCAGCACGGTGGCAAACCACTCAAAGAGACAAACCACCTTTGATACCTGGTGAGTTGTTGTTTACACGGATGCGTAGAAGGGAGCAGGAAAACGGGGAGCGTTGAGAGGAAGGAATTACAAAGAAAAGCYAAGTTTATCCCCCTAGGCTGTTCGTCTTGAAAGGAATATTTCGTAACTCTTCCTTTGAAATTTGTGGTTGTCTTTACCTGCCTAATTGCTCCCTGTGACTATGCTGAAATAGCATTGCATGATTTCTATCCCCTTTTCAGGGACAAGAAATACTTGAGTGCACTAACACAACAAATGCATTAAAATGATATGCTTTGGTCTGGTCTTTCCTGATTTTTTTTTCCATTATGTATCCTTGGTTAAAGATAATAGAAAATATTGTGTGCATATAATGTGGATAGCAAGGCCATAACCTTCATCTGTGGATTCCAGAAGCCTCAAGTGTCAGAAAAATGGGGAAAAAATTGTCAAACTGCATGTTTCCATATATAAAATAGGACTGTGTAAATGAAGAATAGAATATTCACCCTACAGTGGGGACTGCTACGCTCATTTTGCTCGTGCACCCCAGAAGGAAATGAGTGCGTTCTGTGGGATAATGGACTAAATATCTTAATGGTGTATATTGATTTTAAAAGATTAAAAGCACTACATGGCTCCATTATATAATGTAAAACAATTAACTATAATTATGCTAATAGAATGACAGCATATATATAGCTTTGCAGGACTTAAAGGGAAATACCTTAGTTTTGTTGCTATGAGAACTATTCAGCTCTAAAATACCCTTTCCCTTCTGCCTTGTTCAATTGCAATAAAGCACACTCAATAAAAATAAGTAAATGGAAATTGAAAGGACTGGTGGGAGGAAGGGACTGTGTGTTCTCATGAGACAACTCTGCTTCATAGCATCCTGAAACACCGCTCCCTGAAAATATGCTAGGCCCATGCTAGCAAAAGAATGGTTTGTTAATGTATTTTCACATGAACAACCTGTGAGGTACTTGTCTTAAAAAAGCAAACGAACAMAAAAGCACGTGGGGGAAGTGGGGAGGGAAACCTAGCAACCTGTAATTCAGCTTGTACCCACCTTGTATACCTGTGTGAGTAACAGAGATGTTTATTCCAAAGCACTGTTGCCTCCTGGCTCAGAGGACTTCACTTTCTGTGCTTCGGTAGTCCCTCCTCCTGTTTTTATGGCAGTTGCTTTGAGSAGCTGGTCATTTATGTAAAAAAGATGGTGCTTAAGAATGTGACGTACTTTTGTGTAACTAAAGAAGGTGCTGTTTCCACTTTTGAACCCTTCCACGTATTTTGTTGTCCTTCGTACCTGGACCTGGATCAACTGCAATGTGGCTTTGCTTTCTCTGCAACTCAGCAATGTACTTTCTTCTGTTACGGGCATGCAGGCGCTGCACAGGGTCACGCTGTGTTACTCTAACCCAGAGCTGCACTAGCACGTCTGTCATTGGAGCTGGTTGGGAATTTTTTGACCAAGTATAATCCCACTTAGAATTCCAGATTGCCAAAACTGAAGTGTTTCAAAGCAACAGCCTCATACAATGAACTAAGCTTTTATTGGGAAGGTTCTTCTGCTCCAGGATGGAATTGTCGGTCAAAACGAGGGAGGTATTCACCTTGCAATAGCAAGTATCCTGGTTCAGTGTTATTTCTGGGAACATGAAGAGCTCAAGTTCAGGGCCTTTCTTCTTTATTATAGAAGCCAGAGACATGAACCAAGATCTTAGACCTAACCAGGTAATGTCCTGAACCCAGAGTTGCAGGTTCTTCTGAAGCATATTCTCTGTTTCCCGCAATATCTTCTCTTGAAGCTGTTTCATCTTGTTGAAATAATGGAAGGACCTCAGAAATGCTGAGTCTAATCTAGCAGTTAGGGCCCTCAATGAACTTTGAGACAATTATCTTAAGTCTTTGCTCCAGATGATATACTTAAATATTTCCACAAAGTGGAACAGCTTTCTTGAGAGAAAAAACGATGACAACAACAACAAAACAGAAGAATAAGCACTTTTCATGTGAAATGAATGAATGGCAGTGCCCTTAGCATCAAGCTACCTGCTTTTTTGGCATGCATTYCTTTCTCTTTGCTTTTCCTGCTCCCTATTATCCTGAAATGTTTCCTGCCCAGCTCTACATGTTACTCTGTGCAAGTTGTCCTGGCAATGGTCTAATGTTGCAGAATTGTTCTATATGCAGCTTAATCAGATTCTTCAGTGATGTAGAGTCTGTTTYTCTAATTAATTTTCTGTACAGAAGTTGTGTAAATGCCTATGAAAATGTTGAAAGCTCTAATGGAATATGTTTCTGCTTACATCAATTTTAAGATGAATATTTAATGTTCTGCTGGCATCCATGACTGGTATGTGACAGTTCATCTAAAGCTATGAGTGACGTATTCCACCCTGACCTGCCACTACTGTAAAATACTGCTTCTATCATACTACTGCTCTGTGTTGCCTWTCTTCTGTCAGAGATTTTGTGAATGTTTGCTAGGCTGAATTGTCACAGATGCTCCTCTGTCTTTGTGTGCATATCTTCACTCTGTCCCCGCTGTCCTGCCTCTATAAAATAAAGATGTTACACTGCTAAACTTGACTTTTGTCATCAGGATTTACTTCTGAATTCCTAGAACTTCTCTGCGCTTTAGACAACTTGATTTGAACCAAGRCAAATTGTTTTATTTCCAGAAAAACTTTCGTTTACCTCAGTTTAATTTCCTCTAAATGACCTTGAACTTTTCTTTCWTTTTTTTTCTTCTGTACATGCAAGAATAAGTATTTTATTCCCTTTCTCTTGTATGAGTTTTGTTTTAATAGGCAAGATACTTTTTCTCGTTCTGCTGGCGTGCCATCATGTGAACTGGAATTACACTTACGAGTGTTACAGCTCCAAGTATCTCTTTGCAATGAAGTCTTAAATTGCAGTATTTTATCTCATAATCATATTGAAAGTGGTTGCATTGATCACATAAAGATGTTTGGGGGGTTGGGAAACTTCTGTCTAAGGGTTAGAGCTTCTGTATCCAGTTAGATATATTCATTCTGTAASAAACAGCTGGTCATAACTTCTCCAGCATTTACTGTCCCTTCCTGCAAAAAGAATATATATTCATATGTGTAACCCATATCTTGATGTTTCTTTTTACTTTTATAGAAACATATATGTATACACACACACAGATATGCACACCTGTATTAACATTTACACTTTCTTTATTTGTCACTCGAAAAAATGAAAAAGAACCCCATCCCACACTCTTTGGCATGGCAGAGGCTTGCTGATATCTATTTCCCRTTAGTTTCCAAGAGCCCAGAACAACACAGGATGTTATGGACATGAGCCAGCTGTCCTTAATCTCACGTATTTCRGTATTAGAGTAGTCATGGCAAGGGTCTGTCCGAGGAGTAGCTAGTTTAAAGCTTGTTCAGCTGTTCCTGCAATGTGACCTGTTCCTGCATTTTGAATACTCTTCAGTTCCTTTACTGATTTCTGAAATTGGTCTAAAATAATCAAGGAATTGCAAAATTCGTAACTTGCAAACTTGAAAGTTAAGTATGGATGAGGTGTTAGAAGTCTGCTCTGCATCACTGGGAAAYGTGTCACTCCCTAAGGTAGAGCTTTCTTGATGACATTTCCTGCATAAGACTCTAGTATAGTATTGTCACCTACTGTGACAATAGTATACTGTAACACCCATTGTGCTTGCGTTTTGCTTTTTTCGCTGTTTGGCAGCATCTGAACTTCCCTGTCACTGAATGCAACCTCCTTTCTGGGAACTAGGGTTTTCGCCCTGCGCTTTCCCCAGTCATCAGTGGGTTTTAGTCAAAATTTGGTCATGTAACCCGACGTTATTTGCAAGGAAATTTTCCAGATTTCTAGTCATCAATATTCTGCCTGAGAAATACCTGAACCTGGTGAAGTATATTCTATACAAGTTTAGGGAACCAACCACTTCCAAATTGTTATGGTTACTAGTATTGTGTAATGCATGTATGTGTGTGTGTATATATATATATGTATATGTATATAGTCTTGGGTGTTATATTTGCAGGTTGTGTAGTGATTACAGCAGCTGCTGGGTAGCATGTTGAATGGCATATGCAGGATTTATTGCAGTTAATAAATCCTTCTTTTTTCACCTGCAACAAAATATGTTTTTAGCAAATTCAGGTTTGACCTCAGACTTCTAACTTTCATGGCCAGATTTTAGGCTGAGAAATTTTACTACAAACTTTACCATTTGGGATTGAGATTCTTGTGTTAAGTAAACTGCAGATTTGAGGAGCTTCACTAGTTGCTGACTTTTTCTTCCTCCCTTTATGGTAATGCTAGCTACTGAGGGGGTTATTTTAAGCAAAGCCAGAAGTTAGCCTTGAGAATTAATAACTCTTCATTTACCTTGCAAAGAAAATTTCAGGCATCTGAATAGCTCTTCCTTGAGAGCGAGCTCTTACTCATGTAATTGTGAGCTGCTCTGTAAAGAGAGTAGCAAATTGGTGGTTAACGAAGATTTATAAAGCGGGCTGCGTGATGAGATGAGCGGAGCTGCGGGAGTAACAGCAACAGGCGTGAGGAAGGACCTCCAGAAAGGAGCAGAGTGCTGTAGAAGCCTGTGCATGGCAGYACGAATGCAGCATGCTTCCCATTTAACTTTTCAATATTAAGGCACATTAATTTGTTCCCCTCATGCCACCTCCTCCTCCTCCTCGTACCTTCATGAGGATGARCACCTTCTTCCTCAAGGACAGCGATAGCTGCAGACTTGCTGTTGGCATACAGGCGTTTCGCAGGGGTCGCAGGCCAGAATAACCCAAGTGAGCCATGGTGTAAGTCCTAACCATGTGATAAACACATGGGACAGTGATAAAATGATGAGAAAGGGGATGTTTTGCCTTTGGTTTCTGTGTGAGGGAGAGCATGCAGGGTGGGGACTCTTCTCTGCATCTTTAGCCKTGGAGGCTTCTCTGCTCCTAAAAGGCACTGCGATTCCTCAGGAACTGCCTCCAAGAGCCGAGGCTTTATGCAGAGTAACAACACTTGCAGTTATTGTAAGGATAGGCAGTGTTGGGGGACTGTACAATCCCATTTCTTCTGATAATCCTATTTTTCCTATACTGTCCATTGTCTGAAAATCTTTAGGAATGCCTAAAATATCCCAGTGTTTCGTATCTGTGATGAGTATGTTCTGCTCTATTTTTACTCAGTGCAAAATTCTTGTGTTGAGCTTCCTGCTGTAATGCTATATATGTTCACTCTCTTCACGTAATGAGCATGTGTTTGGAAGCCGTTGCTTTTCAAGGTCAATGCTTTTTCAGACACCACGACTGCAATATGAGTCATAGGAGCTAGTGACATCAACGGGTGCATGTAAAACCACTGGYTCCTGGGAAAGTGGCAACTGGAAATGAGCAGCGTCCTCTGGCCCTCGTTTTCCTCCTCTGGTGACTGTAGGAAATTAAGGAAATTATGGTGCATGTTTCCCTTCTCTCCCGTGTCCTCGTCTGGGTTCACTGGGCCAAAGGAAAGGATTACACTTGAGTGAATCTCTATCTAGATAAAGCGTGGCCGCAATACCACTGAGTTTTATGCAGAGGATAAAATTCATCCCATTTGATGGCGTCTCCATTTTGCAATGCTCTTTGGAGCAGAGAAGCCACAGGAGGAGATGGGCGAGTTCTCCAGAGCAGTGCCGAGGAAGCACGGTGGGACTGTCTGGTCTGAGGGACTGGTTCCCCCTGAGTGGCAGCGGCCCTGGGAGGGTGGTTTGGGTTTGGGTTTGGGTTTGGGGCCTGTTTCTTCTGCTGGATTTTTGGCTGCATTCTGGGGCCGGCACAGAGCCGGCTGTGGACACCCGGCCACCCCTCAGGGCAAGGCTTGGGTGAGTCTCTTCACATCCCCCTTGCATTACTAAGGAGCATGAGACTCCTAAAAACAAAAGTCACATAGTCGTTCACTCAGGAGGTGCTTTGTCTGTCTTAAGGCAGCCTTGGGAAGAGGCAGAAAAGGGCAAAGCTGCCGGGAGCCTTCCCTCCTGGGCTCGCACTGTGGGGCTGTGAGTGCCTCGTGCCGGCCTGCCGGATTGCAGTTACACAACAGGGCCCAATACAGGGACCTGGAGGAAGTGGGAATCCTTCCCACTCCTATAGCTACGTCTAGCTTTGTGATATTTATAGTAAAAGCTGTATCGTAGCTTTCTGAATCTGGCTTTATGTCCCAAAAATCTAAATCAGAAAAAAAATCCACCAGCCCCTTGGCCTGCAAGTCTAATCATTCTCTTATTCRGCAGCTGATCAACGCACATATCAGAGATTATAAGGAATGTAACTGTAGCGATTCCTACCCCAGTTATGTGTTTCACATTTGCTTGGAAAAAAATGCCAGCTGGGCATGCAGCAGCTGCCGACTCACCCGCCGACAGCACAGCACTTGAAGCCAGAATTAGACCCAAAGACAGCCGTCGGAGACAGCGACGAGTTGCTGCGTTGCTGCTGCTCCAAAGAAAGCTGCCTCTGTTTGTCATCCAGAGCACTTAGAACAGGGGCTGGCCCTTAGGTTTTCCAGACAGCCGCTGGGATAATTTCATTTTTATTTTCATACAACTTAAGGCAAAACAGACAAATCACCCAGTGTGACTTCTGTAAATGAGTTGCTATTAAATGTCATCCATTCCCCGAGGGACAAACACAGTAGCACATCTCACTAATGTGCATCCCCCAGAAGGGTGTCCGGGCTTGCTCTGGGAAGTCACAGTTGGGAAGTCCACTCTTTCCCCAAGAAGTTTGTTTGGGCAATTAACAGCCTCACTGTTTGAGTCAGCGATCTATTTCTAACACAAATTTCTCTGACTGCATCGTCCACCTACTTGTTCCTCTTACGTCTTTTCCCTTTAAAGGTCCTTCTCATACCCAGTATTTTCTCCTTGGAAAAGTATCCATGCACAGCAGTGAAGGAAACTCTAAATATTGGAGCTTGTTTGCTTGTTTTTTAATGTACTAGAGAGATTGAAATCTCAGTTACTGCAAGCCATTCTTTGCATCTTTGAATTTATTTCTGTGAAACTTCCCCACACCATTGCCCATTCTCCAAATATACTAGAGGGTCCTAGCYCTGCATTCTGTTAAGACCTCACCACTGAGCTGCAACAAGCTTTTTACCGTGTGTCAGTACTTTACCTGCATCATTTGCTATTTCTACTTTGAAGTAGCACTCTACTTACCAGCTGCAGATAATTCAGTTTCACCTGACTTAAAATGTGGAAATACAAAATTTAGTCTTTGCAACTATTGCACTCTGGGGTCGCCGTCCCTGACCGCCCTGCCTCATGCACGCACGGCAAGCGCTCACTCGAGCTGTGAAGTTCAAGTGGACACCGGTAGATCCCAGGCTTCACAGGTGATAAATTTGGAGCCGTGTCAGCAAAGGTCAGCAGTTTTGATTGAAATCAGTTCTGTCTGGCAGACTTCTTTGTAACTCCTGGCTCTTCAGCAAGCAGTGGACGAACTGGATCTGTGCTTTTATACCTCGGCATCGTTTGTATGTTCTCTCGATATGTTTTGAATTTCTTAAGGTATCTTGTGTGTGATATTTTGATTTTAATATTAAATTCTGGTTTTAAAAAAGAAGACATGCATGCTCACCTTTTCCCTAACTATCCACTGTGGTTTGAGCTAATCCTTTTGCCCTAACACTGTGTTCTTCCTATCCCATTTAATAAGACTGTTTGTCCTTTGTTTGTGCAGTAACCCTGGGACCAACGAATGCTAAAACATTAGAATCTTTTCATTTTAATCCAATCAATAATTTGTGTTCTTTGGCATAGCATCTTAAATTTTCAAAACATGTAAATTAAATCTCTCTTACAATACCTTATTTCATGTTTAGGAAAAGTCCTGAAAATCTTAACAGTCACTCTGAGCAGCTCAAGGAGAAAGAAAAGCAAGGGTTTTTCAGGGCAATAAAAAAGAAAAAGAAGAAATCTCAAACTGTAAGTATATAGTATTTCTAAAAGAAAATACATAATTAATAGATTTGAATCATATCATGTAAATATGCTAGRTCAGTACACTACTTTTGTATTATTTGTGGTCATACCTGCTTATATCTATCTGATCTTTTCATTTATTTTTTCAGTATATGAAAATCAACTTCTTTCTCTATTCAGTGTTTATTTATCTTCCTTTTCAAATATTAATTTGTGTACCAGATATATTTCTGTGTGTGTTTTGTGTTCTTTTTTGTTTGTTGGTTTTAATTAGACACTTTGGGAAGTAGTTTTGATGTGAGCTTTAAGCATACCGAGCAAATTCTTCCACAGTATATGGTGATGACATTCTAAGAATAACAAATAAATTATTGTGCATCCTCAAAGCTTGAATAATTTCTCAGACCCCAATTAGAAGGAGATAAAACTGTTAGAAGTGAGAATTCTTTCCAGTCTTTTTCATGGCAGTGCCTTAGAGGTGAGGGCTCCATCTTCTTGCCATTTACTGTGCCTGGAATAAGGAACGTGTACCCTGMCCATGCTTAATGTTTTGCACGTTGAGGGTATCAACTGTGGCTTTTCTTACATAGTATAAACCTCTTTCTTTTGTGCATTTTTTACATTTTCTTCTATTTGTCAGGAAGGAGAAGGAGCTTGCTTTTGTTAGAGGATAATGGTATATTAACTCTTCACAAGATTTTAAATGCAAATTCACCTAAGAAGGGAAGAACTCTCAGCTTCCTGTCATCCTGTTCTTGGATGGCAGTTGTGGAAATGTTTAAAGTTACATTGCCTGTACAAATATTTTACAGCATTTTAAAACTGTGGGTATTTTATCTTAAGTTATGCATAGTACAAGTGTGGTCTTGCAATTCTCAGGCCATTAGGAGCTGAATTTTAGAACTTTAAAAAAAAAATTTACTAGTATACTAAATTGTGACTAAATCTCATGTGCAAAATAGTGTCAGAAATCTTTGTCTTTTTATGTTACCTGTTCTTTTCAGTGGGCTTCATATACTAGACATTTTATTTTCATTTTTAAGATAGGTTTTTCACTTTAAAAAGTGTCTTTGTTATTAACCTGTTAATAATTCTTATTTGTTACTGGTATGGGGTCAGACATTCTTTGTGTATGAATAATAATGGAGCAATCACCATGCCCAACAGTAGCATGTGCACCCCTTACTAATAAGGAGGAGCTTATTTAATTCCACATGTTGTGGGTTATTCTGGGCTATGTTTGTTTCACTTAAGTACTGAATGTTTTATTAAAAAAAATGTTGCAATGCTTCTGTAAGTGAAATTCAAGTTACAGTTTTCAATGGAGGGTACAGAATGGAGGAAATTGTGCTCACTTGCTCACTCTGCTACAGTTGACCTGGCATCAGCAGTTGTTAATGGTACCACAGGGCAAAAGGGAGTAACTAAATTAAAATATATCCTGTCACAAGGTGAGGTGGCATGACTGGCTTTCAGTAGAGTGCTGACCTGTTAAAAATTGAGAGAGAGGAGCAGTTTTCTTTCTTTTAAAATTCTCTTTGAACTGCATGGAACGTGTACATGTGTGTTTTAACTACACACACACACACAAATGTGCCTTGCCTTCCTCCTGTCCAGGTGTTAAGGCTTGTACCACTTCTTATTTCGTAGATATGCTCTTTAACTGAGAGCAGAAGGACTGCTACCCCCAGAATCACGTCAGACTGTTTTTTTGCAATCCCTCCCTATCCTATTGTGTGGTTGTGTGTGATGTATAAATATATATTTGAATCTGTGGGCAGTAGCACACAAAATTCCTGTTAAATCACACCTTTTCATTGAACTGTACCTCTCCTAATTTATKCTTATTTCACATTAATGTAAATAGATGCAAAATGAAGGGAGATCAGATTTTAAGCCTTGTAGGCTTAAAGTTTTACATCTGAAAGAGGGAGGTTTTTAAGAAGTTCTACCACTGTGTGGGATCAGATGGTGTTACATGGAAAATATTTTCTGCTGAACATTGGTGCAGCAGATTATTTGGCTCTGCCATCGACATACACCTCGTAAGGGACTGCAGCGGGGTGCAGCAAACATTTTCATGGCTCACGGGGCAAGTTCTTGTAAGGGATCTTCATCCCAATTGCCCCCAGTTCCTTTTCTGYTATGCTTATCTTCAGGTCCAGCTCTTAGCTGAGTTTGCACCGCAGTGCTAGTCTTCCCCTTCTTCTGCCTCTCTAGGTAGTTTGTATGTCAGTTCTGTTTTGAGAACAAATAGATTAGCTATAAAATCTTGTACATTTGAGGATGTACAAATGTACGTTTGAGGACTGCTCTTGAGAGTGTTTGAGGATGGTTTGCACGCACCAATGTAAAATACAGGTGCCTAGTTTAGACACTGAGCTTTGTACTTTACCAAATGTCTGTTAGTTGAGCTAGCCTACCTGAAAGCTTTGGGGTGTTCATTAGGATCTTCCAGCACAGACAAGGCATTTGCCTGAAGTTCAGCACAAAGTTTTCCTTCAATAGTAAAACCTTCAAACAATCCTATAGCAATAGGTTTTCAACCACAAGATTTTTTTTTAATGAATTCACATTAAAAATGCTATCATGTATAGCTTGTGACTATCCAAGCTTTTATTCTGAGGCTCCCAGTTCTCCCAGCCTCCCAGAGGTATATGCTGGTATGGCGACTTCGCTCCAGCACAGACTTTCTTCAGCAGACAGTACAAGAGGGGGACAGTGTCACATCTGCTGCCCATTTACTTTCAATATCCTTTGGCAACTCTCCCTTAGCCAGTGCTCACCAAAGGAGCCTTGGATTGAAGGTACCTTCTTAATCGTGACATTCTCTCGGTCTCTGGCAGTCCGGAGCTGGCCTCAGTTCTGGATGGTGCAGCTGGCACAGTCGTTTCCATTAGGCATTCTCCCCTGCGCTCTCCAGGTGTAGTTCTGCACTGGGGGACAACCCTGCCTGCTAGAGCAGTTCCTTGCAATGCTTCTTGGGCAGACCTAGTCTTACCCCTTTTCCTTTTTGTCTTTCTGTAAAGTAGCAAAAGGTTTTGAAGGCTGTTAGAGCCACGGTTGTGTAACCTGGCACCAGACATTTCGATACGCAGGAAGGTTATGTGCAGGGTCAATATGCACAAGGGAGCACAAGTTCTTTCTGTTCACCAGAGATTTTTTTAGCACGTATTCCAAGCTCTGGCTCCGAAGAATCAATCCCTTTGGAAAAATCCCGCCACAGGTGAGCACTCCTCCTAGCCRTGCTTTGCTTTCCTTTCTGGCGTAATGAACCTCACATGGGAGAGTCTTCTGATCATGASGTTGCTAAAGAGGCCGTGTTAATTAGTGACTCAGTCCTTACGCAGTTTGGGTAGTCTAAGTGGAACCCAGAAGCTGAGAAGGCCCTCTGCAAACCCTCCAGTTACAGGGCTTCCACCATTCTGGTTATTCATATAGAGTGTTATTATAAAGGTTTTTTTGGTAGGCAGAATAATGCTAGACACAGCACTAGTGCTTGTTTGTACGTGAAAAGAAGAGGAATAGCAAATTATAGGATGAATACCATGTATTTTTGGTATTAAAAAATACATTATGAATATAGTAAGGACAGATCTCTTGAACTGAAATACTATGCATTTAGTTTTTGTATCTTATATTACAGACAGACTCAACCAGCGGGGAGAATCCAAGCATCAAGAAATCCCTCTTTCCTCTTTTTAATTCAAAGAATAATTTAAAGCATAGTTCCTCTTTGAAAAAGCTTCCTGTAGTCACTCTACCCATGGTATTAATTTTTAAATACAGTAGCACTGTAAAATGCTCCAGTAAACTTGTTTTACTGACTACAGCAGCATGTATTTTATTTTTACGGGGTCACTTTCTCTTCATGCCAGTTAAGGACCTGGGCCAATTCGATAAATTCTAGTACGATTAGCAGTTCTGTTGGAATAGATTGTCTTTTTCAAAAACATGTTTGTCGTAGTCTAATATACTGAAATACACAGTGCCAGATAGAATGAGAAAAAAAGGAGAAAAATAGTTGCAAATTCACACGAATTTAAAATTAGACTATCTCTTTTTGTTTCAATCAGGTAAAAACGAACCAAATTATTTTACAGCTGTGTTGGAGATTCGCRTTTTTGATGCAAGATGATTCTTTATACTGGAATTGAATTTTAAAAAATACTGTAACAAGAGATTCTCTTGGAAAAAAAAAAGTTTTCACTTCATGCTTCTGCTGTAGTTTTGTTTCTCCTGATTATTCACAATAATCTTTTTTAATGCAAGCTGTCTTTAAAATTCTAGTTGTCCATTTTTTTGCATACAATTCATGGARTAATGTAAAACTCTTTACATACACATTTGCATACGATCCCTCTGCTACAAGTTTTGTTGAAGTTGCTGCTTGTTTTTCATTTTTCAGGGAGTTTTCTATTTTTACTATAGTTTGAAATACTTGGGAAGAGTAAAGTTTGAAAAGGAAAGGCTCTTTTTCTTGTGATGGCAAAATCAGCCAGGCCTCCATTCAGAGATCTGCTTCACACAGGAACGAATTTATAGAACTGATCCATGGTCTTAACTGCAATATGGAATGCTTTTTAAGTGAAGATGAGGCGCAACTATTTTCTTTTTTCTTTTTTTTTTTAATTGGTTTTTTTTTTTTGGAAGCCTTGTTTAACTGCTCTCTCTTACAGCAAATAACACTAACAGCATGTGAATGCTTGAAGGGCTAAGGGTATAGCAAGTCTGCATGACATCCACAGCCACTCATTATTTACTATGGGGAAAATTATTGAAAGCGCATTGCAATTCTGCTGCAATAATGGAATTCACTTGCTTTATGTAATTAACTGGGGGAGACAGCTTACAGCTATTTTTAAGCATATATTAAGAAATCACTAATTGATACTTTGTTGCAGATGCCTAGTAGTGATGGTCAGGATCTTTTGGCACTGCAGAAAGCCATTCACACTTCTAATCACCAGAGCAGCAGGCAAAAGGATTGGCATCCCGAGAAGGTGACAGAAATCCAGCCTCATGTAAGTGCCATTATTAATTCCCTATATTCTGAGATCATCGATGTGTCTTGACAGCTTTTTCTCTGGTGAACAGAAAATTGCATYTGGCATTATTTCCCAGCCGCCCCATTCCTTGCTCATTGAATGTAAAAAGGCATATGCCTTCCATCCTGCATAATTCCTTGATAATCTAGAAATGAATGACAGGGAAAAAGAAGAGAGACAGTAAGTCCCTTTGTCACTCTTTGAGTCTTCTGAAAAATTGGTTATATTTTTCGATTAGAGACCCACAAAATCTGAACACACCTCTTTGTGGGGCACTGTATAATGACCCTCCAGTTTGCGCCGCAGGGGATGGTGCATCCTGAGGGTGCTGTGCTACCCCACAGGGAATTCATTACTGGATGGGGTCCTCAGGGCATCGTAACCACATTACGGTGCAGCTCCGCCTYAGCTGGCACAAACTGCAGTGTGAGCAGGTTAGATTCCCGGAGCAGAGCACTGCACTGACACAGCTTTCTTTCCTCCATTTCTAAGACCAGCTTTTGGGGACCCTGGGGTTGGGAGAGAGCCTCTGTGCCATGCAGTGTTGCCATTGCAGTGCTGAAAACCAAACAGGGTTTTGTTACAGCTGCAGCGTTTGAAGAAACTGTGAGCTGCGAAATTGGATGAAAGCAGCACCCACCAGTTTGTGCTCTCGGGCTCCCCAGCTCCTTACCCATTTCACTTACCCCATGTTTCTGTTTCTCTATGACCTCCTGTGAGGGACAAGAACAGTTCATTACCCAGCTGCTGCYCAGCAAAATATCCAGCCGTTGAGTTCTGCCAGCCTTTACCTCAGTGCCCAGAGTTACTCRGGTCTCTTTCTAGGCCACACTGATGTTCAGCACACTTCAAGGAACTTCATGTTTCCAAGATGTGTAAAATAAGGCTGTAAAATAAAACTGAGGTTCTAAAGTTAATAGCTGCCCATCTGTCGTTACTCCTACGAATGCAGGTGCCAGGGCCTCCTTTCTCATAGGAAATCAGGCTAAATGAATTGGGGGGAACAAAAGTTTCTCTGATACAGCCAGATATCCTCTTTCCAGGTACGAGTAGATTTGAATCAAATAGCTTGAACTGAAATACTCCCAAATGAAAGCATATTAGAAGTGATGAAATGCTGTGGCGTTCAGAAGGTTCAATTTAAGATGTGGCAGTTTGGCTCCAGGAAGCCTCATGGCGCTAGAGCAACAGGAGGGCAGCAGTCAAGCGCTTTCCGCCCTCTCTTTCAGAACCAGCCATTAAAATCTCTGCGGAAGCTGTTGCATCTCTCCTCCTCAAACCACGCCGTCCCGGCCGAGCCTCGCTTCCAGCCGCTGCCGGGCCAGCCGGCCAAAGCCTCCTTCTCCGACGTGCGCATCCACCCCATGGCCCAAAGCTCCGGCGGCGGCGGCGGYGCCGCGCGGCAGGAGCCGCAGCCCAAGGCCCGGCCCACRCTGCAGATGCCCGGCCAGCTGGAGCCCGCCTGGCACGTGGCGCCCGTGAGCAGGGGCGCCAGCGACGGGCCGCCCTACTCCGATCAGCTGCCTGCCAAGAGCGGGCAGAACGGGCCCGCGTACAACCGAACCAACCGGGCCCGAATGCCGAATCTCAATGATTTGAAGGAGACGGCCTTGTAATGGCGCTCCGCAAGGAGGCCYGGTCCCGCGGGGGCCGCCGTGCCGGAGCGGTGGTGCCTCTGGTGGTGGTAAGACTGTATTTTCAGCTTTCTACAGGTGTGCAATAGGTACAGGCGGAGCTATKCTGTTGGGCACCGCGGTGGGAGTCAGGGATTCTGCAGTGAAACAAGTTGAATTATGAATTACCAGTCATCAGAAACGTCACTGGATACGAGGCAGAGTGTGCCCTTCAGGGAGAAAAAGGTGTTCCTGTTTTCTCTCACTTAACATTCCAGCTTAGTGCACATCTCTGTCTGGAAGCTGGGAGACTTCTGGTATGTATTGGCACTTAAAAGGATGAAAACGTTCATGTCTAGACCTATGCCCTTACTACATTTTTTGCTGCCTAGTTAAAACAGTGGGGTTTATGTGGTAGAAGTGTATCCCTGTTAAGGGTTTAAAGTTAAATTGTACGTCTTAAATTTGTTTTTTAAACTACCATATTTGATAGGATTTGTAATATTTATTTATGATGACCTAATATCGTACTGTTATAATCATATCTTTTATGTTATAATGTAAAGTTATTTTGAGCTGTTTGAAACATTGTGAAGCAGTGCAACAGCTACAGTAGTTTCTATAAAGAACTAACAGTAACATTTATATATTGCATCAGGAGTATTTTATTCTATATATAAATATATATATAAATGGAAAATAACTGTCTGTTTTTTAAATATACTCATTTAAAAGAAAGGTATTGTTATGACACTATCTGCCATATTTTTATACATTTGTGATATAAAGTGCAGTATTATACTTCTAATAAAAGGAAGTTGAATGTGGATATAAGTGTGACTGTAACAGTATGAATCTTGCTCAGCTATTAGAGCCTGGTATTATAGGCATTATTGGTAACAAACAAAAGACAACATTCAATTCCAAGCTTTATTAGGGGCTGTTTTGTTGGACGTGTTGGCTAAGTGTAAGAGACTGCAGAACTGTACAGTAATCTAAACGTGGTTATGTTCTCCCCTGTATCCTTAGCTTTCCTATTAAAATGAATGGGAGTTTTGCATCTGCATCACGAGCACAGAGCCCCAGCACCAATTTTCTTTTCTCCGAACATAAAAAGTGCCCCATGCCTACGAGCTAAAGCAGGTGCTCTTCCACTTAATAGTAGGGGTGAAGACCAAAGAAACATAGCATGAACTGCAAGTGAAATGCCGAACTCGGACACTTACGCATAGCATGCCGCTGCACATCATGGTATAAGCTTTTATGTATATGTGTATTTTACATCTTGTTTAACAGCCTATTAACTATTAAGATGAACACTGTATTTAAATTTAAAATACTCTTGCACTTTTTATTATATTTCAGGATGTATTTAAAGCTACCAATCTTATATTTGGATATTAAGGGGAAAAGGTTGCCATGCAGCTTACTTTCTCCTTACACTTTGCTCTCAGAATATTGCAATGCACAGTTCAGTCTCCAGTCTCAGCAAAAGGATAGATCTTGGGTTCCAGTTCCTGTAAAACATTGCTAAAACTGCCATTGCACTGGTGACTTCCAAGTGTAGCAAATACACAGCCTGGTTTCTCTTTTGCTGAGAAATGAGAGAGATCTGTCACGGGCGAGTTAGTGGGAGTCAAAGAAGTTACGCCAGTCTAGTGCAATAAGAGGAGAGGGAGGCCTGTAGTGTCAGAACAATACAATCTTTCCTTTGTTAAATGCATTAGTTCAACTCTCCCATTGCTCTGCAGCATAGTTCATTTTATATACAATGTTCTCATAAAGTAAATGTACTTGCAGATGTGTTGTCTTTTCCGAGAGGAGATTAACCTGAATGTAAATGTAATGATTTAGCCATAGGTAGAGTTAAGAGAAGTAGCCAGACAATAAGAGCTCAAGTTTCTACTTTGATAACAATGCAAACTGGGCACAATGATGTTCAGTACCTCTTGAATCATACCAAAGTTCTAAGAACGTTACACAACCAATTTGGCATCACTACTACAGAAAAACGTTGTCAAAAAGTACAATATGAAAGTATGTCATTTCAGGTTTGTCCAGGGCAAAAGGTAAGAACTCTTTATTTGTGAATTGCCTGCAAGAAATGTGAATGTGGTTTTCTAACAGATATATATGATATATTCTGATTTTATGTATCATATATATCACATGTATAAATACAATAGACGTGACAGGATGTCCACCTTTTGCCACATGTRTAAATACATGTGGCACATGTATAAATGTGCACATGTGTCACATGTATAAATACAATAGACGTGACAGGATGTCCACCTTTTTAATAATGTCATTGGGCATCCAAGAAACACTTTGTGATGTTTACTACTCACTATTATTATCACAGAATATTCCTTCTGACCTTTTAGAAATCTTTTTGTGGATTCACCAGCTCATCATCACAATTAGGTCAGTCCTGTTCTTGGTTCTGAACTGAGCTGACTCCGCTGACATCCMTTGCAAAAACATTGGCTTTAGTTCAAGAGTGGGGCTCTAAGCAGTGCTATGTGAATGTCTCCCCCTGAGCATTCAGACTAGACTATTTTGTATTTTGTGGATACAATTCCTTTAGCCTCTACTAGACTTTTACCTTGTTGGTAAAAGTTTCATGCTTAGGATAATAGTACTGTCTGTCTACGGTGGTTCTGATTTCTGGCGGGAAAAATGCTTCCAAAGGATTTTTCTTCCAACCCATTCAATTAGAGTAATCTCTGACTGTACTTATAACTGTTTAAAATAGATAGCTGTGCTTCAAGGGTCACCCAAGGAGCATTCAAGTATTTGGTGGCCCATATTTACAGGAAGTTCTTCCTACTTCGTAATGCATTCTCTTCTCAAAATCAACGTAATAGATGAAAGTCAAGTACTAGATTGTATTGAACATATGTAATATTTGCTTCCTTTTGCTGGAACTTCCAGCTGCTCAGCTAAACTGAATGTTTTTAACCTGGTCTAACTACTTAGAGTATTGCTAATGTAATTTTGCTGAGGCTTCTGAAGGAGTTTGTTACAGTGACTGAGATTTGCTAACTCAAAAGAAAATTACAGAGCAAAGAGTTTGTAAGTGTGAGCTTTCTTCTTCACTGGTTTGTGAGTCTTGTGCTATGTGTTCTGTAGAGTTACTTAGGATAAACCATCTTAGACTGTATTTTATTCTTTGGTGATCTGTCTTGCCTTATCATGGCACCACTATTGATGCGAGTAGAAAAAAAAAGACTTCAGTTTCTGAAATGGATTATAGTCATTTTGCAGAACACAAACTGCCTGAACTTGTCTATATGKTTTTACTATTATTGAACTCTTGTTACCTGAAAAAACCGCACCTTAAGTTCCTCTTAATTTAAATTACATATGTGTTTAATTTGTCCTTTCAAACTCTCATGAACATATGTTAGCCTGAAACAACGTTTTCAATAGCCCCAACTGCAGAGCACAGTCTCTTAGAGCCACTTGAAATCTTGTTCCACTACCACACTGCCCACCAGGAGAGAGCCCTTGGCAGGGAATCAGCAATGCCAAGTTCAGTCCATTCTTGCCCATCCCATGGGCCTCAGGACTGTTACCAAACTTTGATTTCAAATACCCACAGATACTTGCTCTTTTGGATCATGTTCAAGCAAGCCTCCAACTTGGAGTCTTATATTGCACCCTCAGATCATCTTTTGGCTTGTCACCTTTCTCTCTCCCAGCCTGACTTGCTCCCGAGAGCAAAGATAGGGTGACTCTCAGATGTGAAGTCATGCGGTGGGCACTTGGCTTTTGGCCTTTCCTTGCTGTTCTAGTTGGGTCTCTGGTGGAGGATCAGTCCTAGTGGCACACACAGCTACAGGACCARCTTCGTTTTGTGTCCTTCAAAAGCCCCTGTCGCTATTAGCTGATTAGATTGTATTCACCCAGAAAAAAAACTGTGTATTCTGCACAGTTGAGCTCTCTAGAGCTTCCCAAGAACAAGGGGGATAGCGATTACATAACTCTGAAAACACTGCTGTAATCTAAGACAAAGCCCAGGCACTTTGAAGAGGAACCATGAGCTCAAAAGTTKTATTATATAGAAAATTTTATTTGTTTGTGGTCTTGAAACTATTTGGGAGTGTTAGGTACTTTAAAAATACCTTCATCTGATTAATTCTCTATATGTTGAATATTGTTAGCGTAGAAGAGGAAAAAAATATTTGAATCTCAATCAGTCACACAGAGTATATTAAAAGAATAGCCATATAAAYACACCACTAAGTGTGGGGTGGCCATCAATGTTTAATTCCTTCCATCCCAGACATGCACAGTGAATCTGTTAATGGAATTGCCCGATAAAAAACACACAGCTGGGCTCTTTTAGCCCCTGTAAGTAGAGCCCCAGGTGAAATAGGTAGGAATGCCACAGCAGATGCTAGGAAAGGTACTGCACCCTATATAACCATTTTTAAATAGCCTTCGATCAGGACACTATTTAAGAACAGGTGCCTTTCCCCACACAGCTCTCCCTAATAGTGTCATGATATTAACCATCCATTAACTGGGGTTTGTAGTGAACGAGGAGAAAAGCCATTTCACTTCTAGCCTTTGTTAAATAGGGAGCAATTTGAGTAAACCCTTTTAATATAACACAGCGTGGAAGCTTCCAGACGTTGGCTCCTTCTTCAAAGGATCAAACGCCATAGTGCACCGTTGCTGAAGGCCTTTCAGGCTAATGAAGGCTTGCACAGATCACATCACTTGGCCCAGACATTATTAAGGAAACCGCAAGATCTTTCATTCTGCAGTTGCGAAAGAAATTTCGTGGAAATTGAGCAAAGCAGCACATAAAATTTTATGGGAGATCTTTGAATCTGAAGGGAAAATCTTTTGGTGAAGGATCGTTTGCTTCAATGGTAGCTTTTTATAGCTGTTGTGGGAGACAGCAGATGCCAATCAGGGAGATGAAGTTTGAGCTCACCTGCTCCAAGTTCTGCTTTTGTTACCGGGGTATCCTTACGTATAGCCAGACT